TCTCAAGATTGTAATAATATTACAATTCTAAATAACTAATTTCGAAATAAGTTAACCATTAGTTATCTCTCTTGTGAAATAAGACCTAAAAAAAGTATAAATTTTAGGAATCACATAATTTTAATATGAAATTACAATCTATCCCTATTTAGTTTGTAATTACATTAATCCATGAAAAAGTAAAACAAATCGGATACATAATATGTAGCTCGGATATATTAAAAATTAGCTCGAATACATTATAAAATAAACCAGATACATAATATGTAGCACGGATACATTATAAAATAATTTAGAATTAGAATAGAAATAAGAGATTTTAGAGGTTTTTAAAAATAGAAGTGAATATTAAAAATAAGGGAAATATAAGAGGTGTATTTCGGTAATTTTTTTAAAAAGGTAAAAAGCTGGAATTAACACGTCAAGTGGTGATCAACTGAATCTCCTCAACAAATCAGTATTTCGTCTTCCTCATCCAAATTACAGTAAAAAGTCAATTCCGCCATTAGATCTGTAGATTCCACTGATTCGAATTCTGTTACATTTTCTGCAGTAACAGTAGCTAAAATAAGCAACAATGGCGAAACAGTCGGCAGTGATCGAGCACAAGTCTTACGCTAGAGTTGGACTGCTTGGAAACCCTAGCGACGTTTATTTTGGGAACACTATTTCTTTCAGCCTCGGAAACTTTTGGGCTTCTGTTCGTTTGGAGCCTTCTATAGATCTCGTCATTGTTCCTCATCCTTCTCATGATCTCGTTCAATTCAATTCAATTTCTCACCTGGTATCCTATCTTATACTTCCCCTTTATTATCTGTTTTACTTTTATTGTTTCCGGTTTAGAGGATATATTAGAAATATTTTTGTTAGAATTATTTTTATACTGGCGGTCGACATGCCAATGCGTTTATACTTTGGCATTGAGTTTTGGTTATACTAATTGCTCAATTGATGATTAATTAATCATTGATTAGCCAATTCTGATTGGTGTTTTCGTAATCAGGATCATAAATTTAGCACTTTTTTATTTAGTTCTATGTGGATTCTCGTGCAGGTTGATTGAATTCGACTTAACACCATATGCTTGTGCTTGTTGGCTGTCAGGTGAACAGGTTGCAGAATGAGGGGTACTATGGAGGGGTGCGTTTACTTATGGCAATCGTTAAAATATTTCACAACTATTGCAAAGAGAGCAACATCACCTTACATGATGGGAATTTCACTCTCTCGTATGACACTAACATTCCCCGCCAGGTAGAACCTAACATTGCAAGATTTATCTGCCCTTAGATGGATCAGTTTTTGTGGATTGGAATCACGTTAGCTAATTGTTGTTAAACTCTTTATTCAGTTACTAAACGTTCTTTGACTTGAAACTGCTTTAATATAGAGCGAGCTTCTGTTTATATGGTCCTGTTGTTTGGTTTTGGAAATGTCTTTTCGTAGGTTTACAGTTTATCTAAAATATCTTAGTCGGATAAAATAATTCTTTAATTTCAACCAGGCACAATCAAAACCTACACCTTGGACGTTGAAACTTTACATACTACCTTCTGGATTTTAGCTATGCAAATAAATTTGGAGTGAAATACATGCTTGTTTCAATCATAACTGAAATTACATCACACTACTTCATGATCATGATCTGAATATGGCATTGCTATATGATAAATAAGATAAATAAAAGATTTGATTTATCTCATGTTGAAAAAGTTTGATTAATATATCAAATACTTTCCACATCTCAGACAGGGCTTTCAGGTTCTAGTGCAATCGTAAGTGCTGCACTGAGTTGCCTTCTTGATTTTTATAAAGTCAGACATCTCATCAAAGTTGAGGTAAGGCCGAACCTTGTCCTTGATGCAGAGAAGGAACTTGGAATTGTTGCAGGTCTTCAAGATAGAGTGGCCCAGGTGTATGGAGGCGTTGTATATATGGTGTGTATGTGTGATACTCTTTTTTCTCTTTGACAAGTCAGTATGATACTTGGCAGAACTAAGCTTGTAGTTGTAAAGTTAATATTGCATGTTCATCTTTTAACCTTTATTTTGCAGGACTTTGGCAAGAATCACATGGATGAATTAGGTCATGGCATATATACACCCATGGATGTTGATCTTCTCCCACCTCTTCATCTGATCTATGCAGAAAATCCCAGTGATTCTGGAAAGGTTTGTACTTAATGTGCAGAATATGAGTGAAAAATCTCTGTTGTCTGGCCAAAGATTCTATAGACGAGTGTGTTATTTTCTTAGCCATGCAATGGGTTAGAATATTACATTTTGGTTTTCACTTCGCACTAAGAATTAGACAATGAGTATTGATGTAGGCTTGTAGTCCACGAGGCAGCCCCTTTATTTTCAGCAATTATTTAACAGGGTAACCTCTTATATATTTCCAGTATTTATTGAATATTTCTCCAGACAATGGATGACATAACGATTGCAGCAGGTTCTCAAGGAAATGTGAATATCAGTGTCCGGATTAACTTTGTCACTAAAAATTACTTTGTTGACAGTAGTTACAAAATATGGATGATACTTTTTTTTTCAATGCAGGTACATAGTACAGTTCGACAAAGATGGTTAGATGGTGATAAATTTATAAGATCAACCATTGAAGAGGTTGCAAACATAGCTGTGGAGGGACGGAAAGCTCTTCTTGAGAAGGACTACAATAAGTTAGCAGCCCTCATGAATCACAATTTTGACTTGAGAAGGTAATATACATGCTTAGTTTAATGAGGTGGACATTTGTTAATATCTTTTATGTGCTTAGTGGCGTCCCCAACACTTATTTGGTAGTGTCATGTGTCATGACCCGCCACCTTACCTTTAAATTCTGCACTGGAAGAGGGGAGGAAGAACCTAGAGTTGTGGAGAGGTTGTCTTCTTCTTAGAAGACTCTAGAATAACTTAGAATATATCTTAGAAAGTCTTAGAATTCTCTAGACTAGTCGAAAATTCTAGAACATAGACTAAAGTGTAAATAATTAGGGACTTGTAAAGTAAATATTAGCTACTCTTAGGCCCCTAGGAAGTAGTATAAATAGAAGGGCCTCTCATTTGTAAGGCATCCAAGCTTGAAGCTAGCAAATCACTCAGGTCTTCCAAGCAATACAAAGCCTTCTTATAAAACTCTCTTGTCTTTCCTTTCATTCTCTTAGTGATCTCAAGTGTAACTTACTTGGTCTTACAAGACCTGATTAGTGAGTAAATTGTCGAGTGCCGCACGGAGCATTAGTGAGACTCTAAGTCTGTGACAATGTCATGTCCAATTTGTTTTCATGTTATTACTTGTAACAATTTTATGTGCGGTCACAATGCGCTTTACATCCCTTTGCATCTTATTTCATAGTGTTATGATATACTCAAATATTGCTAAGATTTTTTATCACAAAAAGCGGGTAATATGATATGCAAATCGAATACTTAAATATTGTGGGCCTACTATGTAGGCGTATGTTTGGAGATGATGCCCTTGGAGCTATGAATATAGAGATGGTTGAAATTGCTCGAAAGGTAGGTGCTGCTTCCAAGTTCACAGGAAGTGGTGGGGCTGTGGTTGTGTTCTGTCCGAATGGAACTTCACAAGTGAAGCAACTGGAGGACGCATGCCACACTGCTGGCTTCACTTTCCAACCAATTAAAGTTATGTCTTCGTTTCTAAACGAAACCGATTTTCAAACTTTGGGATCAAAGTGAAAACGATGACCTGCTTTCAAATATGGCGGGAGTCCTCTTTTATTCCTTTCACCTTTCATTGGCATATGCTAAGCTTGTCACGAAGTATGTAGCGACCATTCAAAGAAATGCTACTAAAGATAGCTTTAGTTACAATTGTTTTGCGGCCATTATACTGCATTCCGAGAAGCGCTTACTTTACTGATTTAGCGTCCATCCATTTTGCTGGTGATAAATCCATTTAAACAGTCATTAAATTCACATATTTTAACATAGCCATTGTGTAGTGCCAATTATAATTACTACTAACTCTGTTAGAAAATGTTATAATTTGCACTTCTGGTGTTCTTCTTTCGTTGTCGTTAAATTTAATTAAATTGCCGACAAAAACTTACCTTTTTAGTGGCAAATGAAATGTTTAATTTGATTATTGCCATATAATATTGAAGTTTTAGCGACAACTGTTGTGTAAATTAACACAACATTTGATTTTTCTTTCTTTGTTCAATCTTTTAAATTAACACTGATACTCAGGCAAATATATACAAGACAAAATAGAACAACAAAGGGGTAAACAAGACCAATACTAATGTAATAGAGCCTGGGTGCAACTGCTAGTTTACACAATAGCAAGCATTCCAATCAGGATATTTGACACAAACAAGACATGGATGGCTCCCTATATCTGTGTACAATCAACACAAGGAAATTTATGTGGCCAGCAAATTTACCACCAAAACCATAAAAACAAAAAATCAGAAAGTGAAAACAGATGCGCAAATCATCGAGAAAGCCGAAGAAGTTACTAAAGACGAATAGAAAAATGAAACACCTGAGCAAACAAAAAGGGGAAAATATACCCCAAAATTTATAAAAGCTAAATCACCAAGAAAGCTAACTCCTCTTTATCATATAGTAGTAGAATACACTAAAAAGCTTAACACCTCTCATTCTAATTATTTTTTCAAGATGGAAACGACAAAAGCATATCTGGATAAGCAATGAAAGTGCTATTAAATACTATAACCTCAATCACAAAAATTAGCAAGTGAGAAACTCAAAGCTGAATGGCGAGAACTAAAGTTGGGATAACACAGTAGATTCTGCACTAACCAGTGGGATCTGTAATTTGGCAAAGAAGTACTTTGAAAAGAATAAATGGAGCACTTTCCATGGAACTATCAACCTCATCCTCCTTTACGTACTTCAAGAAAAATTGACAAGACTGTCAAAAATATTCAGGTGATCACGGAAAAGATGTTAAACATTACAAAGATGTTCTACAACTACATCTCACTCCTTTCCAACAACAGAGGATTCCTGAATCTAAGTGGTCATTCCCATCATTTGAAGCTGGAAGATCCAAGAAGAATATATACAAAACAAACTCAAACTAAGAAACTGAATAAAGGCAACAAACCCGAAGACACATCGCCGTAATTTTTCCCTGGTAAAGTTCTCTTGCAGAACTCAATCTGAACACAGGGAAGAAATAATTTCACCAGGTGTGTGTGCCCAGATTGGGAGGTCCAAAACTGACTGTTTCATTTTTTCTTCTTGTGCAGTCCAGACAGCTTCAACAACATCACAAAGTTTTGATATGTTGCCAATTACAGCTTCCTGTGCTTCAACCTGTACCAAGTAATTCATAATAAAAATTGAATCAAGCACTTTAAAGTTTAAATGACGCCTAAAGGCAATGACTTGCTTTGATCACAGAAGTATCACAAGGGTAGAAAAGTAGACAATAAAGGAAGTTAGTAGACGTTGTCATTTTGGTTAGCTGGACAATTTCAAATTTCTGTTATAACGACTAAGTCACAGTTGGTTAAGAGGATAAATGTTTGTCTGTGATTCATTATCATCTAAGGGCTCCGATTAGTTCAAGGAAAGGATATTTGACCAAAATAATAAGTTCAACGAAAGGATAAGAAGTCTCAGCAAGGGGAGGGAAGCATAACGAATTCTGGTAAATTTCATATCTCGCTCTCTTTTCTTCTCTCTCTCTTTCTTTCTATATCTCGCTTCTCTATTCTTCCTGCCCTAAAGTACAATTCCCCAAAGCACAGGCAACTCAATGGTGATAATCGAGGGTGATTGAAGCCATATAGTAGAGTTGTCTATTACTAATTGATTGTAATAATTAGTCACATTTCATTCCAAACTTAGTTTAGTATTGTCGTTGTTGCTGTAATCCCGATTGACTGTGGAATCAAATTGAATTTACTGTTTGAACCTTATCGTGAATTTGAGCTCATTACATTTGGTACCAGACCATTGATATTACCCTGTGTATCGATGACAGAGGCTGAAGCTATACGATTGTAGTAACAGGAGGAAAATCTCAGGGCACTGAAGAGTCAGCTTCAGAACTATATGGGGAGCAACTGACTCGAACTTGGAGGAGCTGAAGATGATGATTGAGGACTCCCAGACCTCATTAGCAAGGATGAGTGGAAGGATCAGTGGGTATCAAGCAAATCCGAAGAAGGCTCTGGCAAAGGAGGGAGCTACTAGCAGGGGTGATGGAATACTGCCAAGGCCAAGGGGAGTCGCAATTGATGACAGTCCCTATGATTCTGTCCCCAGCAAAGGAGGTAACTCACAATTTTCACCTAGATTTTAGTTGTCAGTCTTTGAGGGTGAGGATCGTAGAGCGTGGCTAAGGAGGTATCAAAGGTATTTTAATTCCTATAATATTGAAGATGGTCATAAAAAATTGGAAGCTGTCAACCTGCATTTGGAAGGAAGGGCTGAGGCTCGGTATTTCTCTTACACATTCCCTTGCCGCAACATCAGATGGTTTGAGTTTTGTAGAGAAGTGGTCTGGAGATTTGAGGATGAAAAACTGGACTCTACAGTGGAGAAGACAGGCTAAGTCAAACCACCAGTGGAGAGGCCTTCCTTGAGAAATTTGAGGACAGAGGATTTGTAACCCAAATGTGCCAGAGGATCACTTACTGTCAAGTTCCATTGGTGGACTGAAGGAAGGGGTGAAAAACCTGGCACCTATTTCACTATCTCACACAGCAAAGTTTACCAAATGGCAAGAGAAGATGGTGGCGGCTATTGCAAGGAGGAATCGACAGGTAAACAGCAAGGGGCCTTATAACTATGGATAAGGGGACCATCAGTGCACTGGTGGAATGAAGAGAGTGGAAGGATCTGACAAGCCAGAATACAGGACACACCAGGGGCTTATTGAAGATGTGGAGAAAGGTACCATCCTCGCTATGTTTACAAGGGCAAGCAATTGAATCTCCTCACTAAAGCACCTGCCCTATCTCCCTCTTCTCTATTCTTCTTGCCCTAAATTACAATTTCCCAAATCCCAGGTAACTCAATGGTAATAATCAAGGGTGATTAAAGCAGTTGTCTATGACTTGTTGATTGCCATTTTCATTCCAAACTTAATTTCGTATCGTCATTGTTGCTATAATAACGAATTACAATGGAATCAAATTGAATTTACTGTTTGAGTTAAACTGCAAACCATACCTGAGTAAGGAGCTGATCAACAAGGGGTTGGCAAGTCGGATTCGATGACTTGACTGGCGAGTTGAATGATAGAGTGTCCCTTTCTTGATAAGGGGTTGGCTGATTTTGCTGCATTTCACTCATTGTTGTTGATAAAAGTTCCCATTGGTTGATCTCCTTTTGGTATCTGTCTTTGATTTTCATGAGCGCCTTTTTCTTCCTTTGCAGTCGATTCTTCTCCTCAACTGCCGGATCTTTTAGCTTCGGAGTAGCGGTTGGGTCAAGATGAAACTTCTTCCGACGCTTGTAGACGAAGCCATCCTCGTTAACGAGCTCCAGTTCGTCTTCGTTTGCCCAATTCCCTGCTGCCATCGACTGAAGATGATACCAATTCAAAATAAAATTGCAATATCTGTCGCAGTTGCAGTCCTCTTTGAAAGAGTAAAGCGAAGACCCTAACTATTAGAGTAAAAGAGTATATTTTACTAGGGGTGGTGAGAAAAAGGAACCAACCAAATGGAATTAATTGTATAACCGTATTGAATAATTGTTTTTTATTTTAGGAAAAATATAAATTCTACGTAAATATATTTTATATATTAACAATATGTTAAATTTAATATATAAATATATTTTGTAACATTTTTCAAATACAACTATAACCTAGGCTTAGGCCTTCGTCGATCGGACTTTGACTCTTTGCTCTTTAAGATCAAATAATACGACAACAAGGTTTTACATTCTTTACTTCTTGTTGAACACTTGAAGTGCTTCTTCAAGAACATATTAGCGATTTTTTTAATAAGAGTATATTTCGAGGTGATATTTTAAAAATAAAAAAATTGAAAATTAATCGAACTATACGGATATTGAAGAGAAATCGATATGATTGGGATGGTGTTAAATATCAAATTTTAAGGGAAAATTACGCGGTTTAGCAAACATATACTAGCTAATTAGCTAACATAGCTATAGTTTACATTAATTACAATTCGGAACTTACTTCTAGCTATAATTACATTCTCTCTCGTCTCTTTCCTCTCTTCCTCTATCTCTCTCGCCTCTCTCCTCTGTTCCTCTCTCTTGCGCCTCTCTCTGGAATCTTGCTCGTCACTCTCCTCTTTTTTAGTCATCTCTCCCTCGCCTCTCTCCTCTCCTTGCCCAGTCTCTCTCTCGTTTCTCTTCTGTCAATATCTCTCTCACTTTATACAAATAAAGCGAGTAGGGATGGCAAGGGGACGGGGACGGGGATGGGGACGGGAACGGGACGGGACAGGGGGACGCCTTTGCCGGGATTGGGGGGGATAAAAATTCGTCCCATCCCGTCCCACTATATATACGGGATGGGACGGGGTTTGGCGGGACGGGACGTGGAATTTTTATATGTTTATTTATTTGTATTGAAATTATATGTTATTGAATACCATTTTTAGTTTATTTAGTTTTCAATAACATTTTTAGCTAATAAAAAATGCTTAAGTTTTCAAATTTCAAATTTCAAATTTCAAGTTTCAAGTTTCAAGTTTCAAGTTTCAAACTTGAGAAGTTCAAATTTGTATTTTAAAAGAATTTAACTTGAAATTTCAAATGTCAAATTTCAATTTTTAAATTAAGTATTTTAAAATTAAAATTAAAATGCAAGACAATAGTTATATAAAAAAGACTTGAATAAAGCCTTCAAATTTATTCAATAAAATCTAATTGCAACTTAGAACTTAGAAATTACAATTTACAAATATTAGTGGAGTAACTAATCTATGCAGTCACCTTCTAGGAAGGGTTTTGTTTCAATAAGTTCTCATATGTAAAACTAATATTTGTTACAAATATTAGATGAGTAACTAATTTACGCAGCCACCTTCTAGGAAGAGTTTTGTTTCAATTAGTTCTCGGATGTAATCTAATATTTATATTCTCCTTTAAAATTCAATTCTAATTGTCGCATCATATCGACGGTAACATCCTCCGGTGTTGGCAAACTTGTTAGAAACTCTTGTGACTCTAATTCATCATCACTAGATCCAATTACCGCATTAATCCAAGCTTTTTGTTTGGAACTTAACCTTGACAAATTATAATTCCTCCTCTCGGCGTTGACCCAGTCTCTAAATAAAATTGATGTTTCCAAACTTTCTTCCGCCAATGAATGTCTATGATCGCCAATTTGAAACCTTGCCGCACTAAAAGCAACCTCCGATGCAACTGATGAAGCTTGAATAGCTAAAACATCACGAACCATTTTGCTCAAAATTGGAAATGCAACGCTCCGCCTCCTCCACCATGCTAATAAATCTTCATTGTCATCTTTGTCTTCCACTATTTCTAAAGATTGATTAAGATATTCTTCAAAATCATCACGGTTAGTAGAATTAAGACCAAGAAAACCTCGCATATAACTTGAAATTCGAGCTTTACTCTGAGGATTAGAAATTTGACCAACTTCTCCTTGAGTATTTCCTATAGTTCTATATTTTTCATACAAAATTTTTGCTTCTACTTTTATGCTAGACTTACACATTTCACAAGTTGAAATTTCTTCCGGTAAAATTTCTAAAGTGTCAACAAGTCCCTGCACACCTCGTAATTTATAGTCAGGATGAAGTAAAGTAGCAGTTAAATAAATTTGAGGAATAGGATTTTTTTTTTTAATTTTTCAATTTTTTTGTATTTAGAAAATTGAATTGAAATAGCACAAATATTTATTATTACTGATAAAATAGTAGGATAATAAATTCCAGAAAACATTGTTGTAGCATCATACAAAAATCTTTAAGATTCTAATAGTTCATTAGTTTCTTCCTAATCTTCTTCACAAATTCTATCTAATGGGTCAACATTATGAGCATTAAACACCATTTGTACAGGTCCTTTATATTTGTAAGCAACTGAAAGCATTTCGTAAAACGAATTCCACCTTGTTTTAATATGTCTTGGAATTTTTCTTGGTGGCAAATCACATAGTACACAACGCTCATTAAATTTCCTAATTCTAGCAGCTCTATGAGCATAAAAAATCTAGGCAACAACATATTCAATTTTTCATACAACCACAATTAAATATTGAAATATTGTCTTGTACAACTAAATTTAATACATGTGCAACACATATAACATGAAAAGTTTTAACATCAATTGGACATAATCTAACTTTTAACATACTAACAGCATTTATATTATTAGATGCATTATCTAATGTGATAGACATTACTTTATCTATAAGCATGTATAATCTAGAACACTCAAAATATTTGAAGTTATTTATGCACTAGTTTTTTTTCTACACATTCTTTATAACTTGAAATTCTTTTTTGCAAATTTCAGTTATGATCAATCCAATATGCTGTAATAGTTAAATAATCATGTCCATTAACACTACGACCCATGTCTGAAGTTATAGACACTCTACAATCTAATATGTTAAATATACAACGAAGATATTGACAATGTTTACCTTGATATACAAAAACATCAAATTTAACAGTATTTCTTGAAAAACCTCTATAAGTAGGATTATAAGTTTGTTGAATATATTCAATAAAATCGAGATGTGAAGGAAAACTATAAGACAAACCACAAACATAAACCATTTTAGCTAACTTTTCGCGATCTCTTTCCTTATTATATTTACGTTGTGTTAGTGGACCACCGGGGTTAGAAGGATCTAATGTTCCTTGAACCATGTTAGAAGTTCCTATCGATTTATTAACATTAATATCAAAATCATTAACTGAACTTCCTTTTTTTCTATCGGCTAATGCTTTAGCTTCTTTATATTGAATCGGTACACAAGATAACAAATGTCTATTTAAGCCCCCCGTCCCACCTTGATCTCCACCTTGTTTATGTTTAAAATGTTGCTTACACTTATTACAAATAGAAATAGAGTTTTCCTTATCTAAAGTCATAAATTGTCACACAACAGAAGTTTTAGGGCGTTGATACTTCACCTTTTCCCTTGTAGGAGGTATAAGGGGTTGGCATCCACAATTTTGCTCCGTTGAATTTGTAGTTTAATTTGGAACTTCTGTCACCGGACTAGTAGGTGTATCTTCTAATTCATCTTCTCTCGAACCAATTTCTACTTCTTCACCTGAATTTTCATCAAGATAAGGATTATCACCATAAATTCGTTGTAAACTTTCATGATCGAGTTGAACATTTGAATCAATATCATAAGAAGTGTCATCAACATAAGTAAATCATTTGTATTAAATCTAATTCTAGACATTGATTTAGAAGAAGTACCACCACATTTACTCTTATTTTTTTCCTTACTACTTTTTTTATTAAAATTAAATAATTTATTAATGTCACTTGGTTCTTTCTCTTTTCCTTACCGATATTTTTTTTGCTAGAACTCATATTTAATTATATGTAAAGTGTAATATAAAAATAATAATAACACAAAAATTAATGACGAAAAATAAAATATAAATATTATGAAACGAACATACCAAACATCTGCGTTAATAGCAGGCGTTATAACCGAATAACCGATTCTTGAAGCTTGTAGTTTGTTGTAACTTGTAATTTGGAACTCCAATACTTGATAGCAACTATGAGAATTATATATATTATGATATAATATGAAAATTTAAAATTGAAATATATGTATTATGATATAATATGAGACTTAAATGGAATAAAAAATTGAGACTTAAGATTGAGAGGATATAAAAAATAGCTGAGGGAATAGATGATTTTGTAAGAAATAATAAGGGATAAAGGGGTATTTATAATATTAAAAATGAGTTAAAGTGTATTTATGATAACTTAAGGGTTTAAATTAAAGTATTAAAAGTAGAGGGGTGGTAGAGGGTGTTGGGGAAGTGAAAAAGATGAATAAATCTGTTGGGGGGGCCCACTAGCCGTTGCCCCAATGGAAATAATTCAAAAAAATAAAAATAAAAATTAGAGGATCCCGCGAAACCGGCCGGTTTAGCCGGGCCAGGTCGACCGGGACCAAAGGGTGAATCGGCCCCTAACCGATCCCTTATCCCGAAGTCCCTCCCAACCCGCGAGAAGTGACGGGATCGGGTCCGGCGAGCCGGTTCTCGAACCGGTCGCGGGTCGGGGTGGGCCGACCCGGTCCCCCTGCCAGCCCAAAAAGCGAGAGAGACGGGATATGCAAATACAAATACATATCTCTCCAGTCTATACACTTATAATTATACAAATACAAATTTTCCCCTACCCCAGTTCTCTTTTGCCTTTCTCTCTCTCTCGTGTGCGCTTTATACAAAAACAAATGTATAATGTGTGTTTGTATTTGTATAAAGTGAGAGAGACGAGATATACAAATACATATATTTCTGCCCTATACACTTATAATTATACAAATACAAATTTCCTCTGCCCAGTTTTCTTTTGTCTTTCCCTCTCTTACTTTATACAAATACAAATTATACATCGTATTTGTATAAAGCGAGAGAGAGATTGAATATACAAATACAAATGTTTTAACTTGATTCAATGTATACGAATTCAAATTGTATGCAGATATACAAATGCAATTATTGATATATATACATAGTAGTTAAATATATACAATTATCTAACTTATATATATATATACAATTCACCTCTCTCCACAGTCTGCACTCTCTCGCTCGCCTCTCTCATCCCTCTCCCAATCTCGCTCGCCACTCTCCTCCCTATAACATGTAGCTACGAATCGTAATTAACAAACTATAGCTATGGAGCATAATTAAGCTTTTTTGAGTGACTATATATGAAAATTCCTCAATATTTAATTATATATTATAAAATATCCAAAAAATTGAAATGATATTATTTATTAAAAATAACCAATCGAATCATACTACTGACACTCCTATATTTTACGCAATTTGATCCATCGATTGGATAAAAAGGGGCAAATATTTATAAGTTCAAATGCAAAGAATGATTTGTCTTTTCCAATCCTTTTAAGTTTTTATGTATTTAAGTAAGACTTTTATTTAAATTTTGTTTTTGCATTAATATTTGCTAGTAGCTAAAAGTTCATAATATGCACGAAATACCGGCCATCTAAAAGTTTTTTTATTTTTTTTGTTTCTTTTTTTTGTGCTCACACAATCATTTTTTGGATCGTGATTTAATTTGGGTTTACTTTGTTATTTTTTTTTTTTTACAAATTTATTCATTTTGGATATCTAATTATCTATCTTTAATACTTTTTCTACCTATCCATTATTTAAAAAGTCATTTAATATTTTAATTCTAATTTTCAAATATTAAATTAGTGTAATTCAATTTAGTTTTAAACAACATATTTTGTATGATTTCATAAGTGGAATTTGAAAGAGTAGAATGTATGTAGATCGTATTCCTACCCCCAGAAAGGAAAGAAATTATTTTAAAAGACCTTGACTCAAGTAACTTGTATCTAAGAACATACATTGAAAAAAAGAGATATAATGAATACTAGAAAGAGCATCACATAGCATGCACGAAAAAAGAAATAATAATAATTATAAAATAATGTGATAATAAAAAAATATGAAATAACCATTAGCAATATAAATCACAGGAATATAAAACTACACAAAAACTACTAATACTACGAAATTATGGAGAAATGAGTACCGAGCAGCAAACTATCACCAAGCCTGACTCGCACAAAAGTGAGACAATACCTAACTATATATTAAACTTCTATCCTAATTCACAATTTTCATATCTTTTTGTCTAAGGTCATGTCTTCGATTAATTGAAGATGCGTCACATTCACTTTAATCACACTTCTTTAATATATTTTTTTGACTTACATCTACCCTTTTCGAACCCAACATCATCAATCTTTCTCATGGGAATCAACATACCCAAATCATCTCAATCTTGTTTCACTTATCTCATCCTTCATAAAGTTACTCCAATCTTATTTTAGCTATCTCGTTTCTAATTTTATCTCTTCAAATAGGTCCATACATTCACATCACCATCCTTATTTGATAACATGGAATTTCTCAACTGACCAACACTTTACTCATACAACATTATCCACCGAATCATTCCATAAATTCTTAATCAGCCAACAGTATGTTCATACAACATAATTGATCTAACCATTACACTGCAAAATTTGTTTTTTAAGTTTGAAGATTTCGTTGCATATTATATCTTGAGAAGTGCTTTCTCCGTCTATTTTTAATTGTCATGTTGTGCTTTTTAAAAGACAATTTGACTAATTGTCAAAGTTAATTTAGATTACATTAATTTGATAACAAAAAAAATTAGATATTCAAAAAACTATACCAAAAGTATTAAAATAATAATTTTTTATCTATCAATAGGATGAAAAAATATTAATCAAAATTTATATAATTTGGTTCTAGAAAAGGAAATTATGGCATATGTTTTAGTGGTGTGATTGAAGATTTTACCAAAAAAAGAGTATCACTGCAACTCGCCAACAAACGGCAAAAATGGCTAAGTCAGTAGTAATTCCTCGCATGTCTCTCATCTTCCTCCGCTCCAAATCCATCTCTTCATTCTCTCAGTCAGGCACCATCATCTTTCCCTCAATGCTCAATTCCCTTTTGCTCAAATCCCATTCACTTCACTTTTTCTCTACAACTTCAACCCCATACCCACTTCAATACGAAATGATAATCTCCCGCCCTGCTAACCCACCTTCACCAACCCTAAAATCTCACCAACAACGCTTCCTTCCCAATTCAAAACCTACTGATTCCGAACCCGAACCCGGTTCAGAACTTGGGTTCGACGATTGGGTCGACAGAAAATTGAATTCGAAATCTTCTTCTCCACAAGCCGAACCGGAGCCTGAAGAACCCAATTCGGGTATTATGAAAATGGATAAAGGGAAAAGGAAATATTACAATAAGAGAAGGAAAAGAATGTTTGGTGGGTCGGATTCGGAGGATGAGAATAACAGGGACAAGGATAATGAGCTTGTTGAGTTGAAGCAGGAAGTTGTGGAGCTACCTACATTGCACAAGAAGGAAGAAGAGTTGTACTTTTATGACAATTTTGCTTATCCTTGGGAGAAGGATAAGCATTATAAGATGGTATATCAATTGGAGAAGAAGTTTTTTCCCGATCAGGGTTTTGATAAGGCTTTTCTTGATCCTGGGCAGTCGAATGAGAATGTAAAGAGGAGTAAAAAGAAATTGGAGAAGAAGGAAAATATAATAGAAAAAGATATGGATGGTGGGGATGGTAAAAGTTTGATCTTTTTTGAAGAGGAAGAAAAAAGTGTCAGCTCTGAAACTAAGGAGGAAGCTAAAGTTGATGTATCGGAAAAGAAAGTGGAAGAGTTCTTCAAGTGTTTGAAGAAAGTTCCAAATAAGGAAAATGGTGTTGCCAGTGCCGAGCCATTTCTAGCGACAAGGAGTACAGGGCTTCCTCCTAAATGGGATAGTCCGGGTGGGACGGTTGTATTAGTGAACAAACCAAAAGGTGAGTTTGAGCTCCTTATTGTTATAACACTTGGATTTATCTTGCAAAGTATGTTCATATTTTAGATGTTGATGTGATTCTGAAAGAATTAAAGTAAGAGTGTTAAGTTCTCATGTGAAGTCAATGTTAGGTGTTTTGAGTTTCTAATTGAACAAGAAGCATTACAAGTAGAGATTCAGAATGCAATGCTTGCTTGAGAAGTTTGAGTACATTTGGTTGTTTGATTTTTAAAATGGGGTGTACACTCAAGTTACCAATTTCAAAAAAAAAAAAATGGGGTGTACACTCAGGGAGTCTTAAAGTCAGAAATAAGTAAAACTTATTTGGGAGTGTACATTATGAATGCAGCCAGTGTTGGGTAATTAATGAAAACTGCTCAAGAAGGTCATTTGTTATTGTGTTGTGCATCAGAAAGCTCACTAAAGGACTTCTATGTTTAGGCAAAAATATATTCACATAAAAACAGAATTTAGTATCGAATACCATAAATATTATTTGTGAATTAGAATTACACTTGGTATGTTGTTGTTGTTGTAGTTGTCTTTTATGATCTAACATCGTAAAGCCAAACACAGATTTGGACGCTATTGCATTTGGGAAATTTTGTTATAAAAGCTTGGTTTTCTTCTTTGTTTTGTAACTCATAATCTGAATTGCGTTACAGGTTGGACTTCTTTTACTGTTTGTGGAAAGTTGCGCCGCCTAACAAAAGTGAAAAAGGTACATCTCTCCTAACCACAATCTAGGGGCTATTTGATATGGTCTTGGAGAAGCAGTATGCAAACTCGCTTTAAGTATATCTCAAGATAAACTTTTATGGTAATCTTTTTTTTTTCTGAGAAAGTTTATGGTAATCTTTTGTATTTGAAGGTGCATCAGTATGTCAGTCTTAGGAATTGGAATGCAAGTTAAAAAATAATTTGGATGAGTGTTTTCACTTTAAAGCTTTGAGTCTGTACTTTGATTATATCCATGCTGATTAATAGAACTCTTACATTCAAAAGTAGGAGCTTGAATACAGTTTTGATTTTTGTCGGTAGATTTACTATTTTGATTTTCTTTGAAGATATCCATTCCTAATGCAAGATACTGTGAGATCTTAGAATTTTAACATGAGTATCAATTCCCCTCTTCAAGTTTTCTTTATTCTTTTTAGTGTTGGATGCTCCATTAGATCTAGTCTACTAGCCAGAAGACTTTGTGCAGTAAAGTTAGAGCTGTGGAGTATGGGCTGAAATGTTGGGGAGAGAAAAAAAGAGTATGTAGCAAATTTTGAGAGAATTAGAGTATACACATCACAGCATTTTGTTACCTTCTCCCCCAAATTTTCATTTTAAATTAAAGACCTTCGAACAAACTTCCGTTTCTAAAAAAAATTGGGCCCCTCTATCAGGAGGGGCAGGTGTTTATGTCTTATGTATTTGATTTTAGGGGTTTTTATGCTTATATTCACGTGGTTGGGGACATTTTTCACTTTCTAACTGAATACTAACTGAACTGAGGCATCTCATGCTTATCACCTTCTCCTTCAAATTAATCTTTTGCAGGTTGGCCATGCTGGAACACTTGATCCTATGGCAACTGGCTTATTGATTGTATGTGTTGGTAAATCTACGAAGATCGTTGATAGGTAATAAAGTTTTAGATGATTTAACAGAGGGATTCCTAAAATTTTGTGAGAGTTACCGATTTCTCCTAATTTCCCTCTTTGTCTTGAGAGAACTTATATCCATGTCTATGGAAAGTTATGTGATAAATCTTCCTGAAGTTGAATTGTTCTTGGCAGCTATCAGGGTATGATGAAGGGATACAGTGGAATCTTCCGTTTGGGAGAAGCCACCTCTACCTGGGATGCAGATTCCCCGGTATTTATTTGTTTTTTTGAAGTTATAATTCTGCAGATAAATCTGGACCATGTGGCTTGTTTCACCCCCACGAAAGTCTCATCTAATCATCAGCAACACAAATTAAGATGGCAAGATGAGAAATTTTGTGATAGCCATCATGAATAAAGTCTACACACTCACACTAGTTGATGTTACATAAACAGGATCTAGTTATTTGTTTACCCCAGGTTTCATCTTACTTATGAAGTTTAGATTTTGTAATATTCAGGTAATTCAACGAGAGCCATGGGAGCATATCAAGGATGAGGACATAAAGAAAACGGCAGCATCCTTTTTTGAAGAGATATGGCAAGTCCCTCCGATGTTCTCAGCAATCAAAGTAAGTTAAATTTTGTTGCAGCACTTCTGATCCTCCAATTTTTTATTTTGCTGAATATAAATTGTTCCTCTGCATATTTTGATAATGTAGCAAATTATCATAACACTTTCTTACCCTGGAGAGATGAAATTAGTGATACCAAATTAACACTTCCTCAACACAATTCATTCTTAGTATTTCCAACATGCTTAATTTTGTTGAAGTGATGTTGTTTATCAATCTCATGAAAAGAAAGTGTGTTGAATCAACTTCAGCTATATCTCAAGTCCATGTAATGCAGAGATTATTGCTGCTGATACTAACTGTGATTGGACATATGTTTAAATCGAAGAGTATTCTGATTCAGAAAATATAGGTGCTACTTCTGTAGTCTGTAATCGTTTGAGTGGTATTTTTATCTTTTTTTATATAGGTTCTTAAGCTCTTCCAATTTTTGTCAGCTTCATCAGAACTTCTCTTGGGTGACCAAGGCATGAATGGGATTCAGTATAGTGTTTTACACTTCTACTTATTAGACTCCCATGTACTTATGATAGGTTGGTGGTGAAAAGATGTATGATAAAGCAAGAAGAGGAGAAAGCATCGAACTTGCACCGAGAAGGATTTCAATTTTCGAATTTGATGTGAAGCGGAGTTTAGATGACAGGTTATCTTGTTGAAATCTTCTTGTGCTAATCTTGTACCATATGGATGCTCAACTCTTGAAAACTCATATCTATGTGGGTAGTCAGTATTGTGTGTGTGTGTATGAGTTAAAAGCTCTAGCCAAGGTTCTCTCAAAGTGTCTAACATTCCTTGGGTGCTCAGAAGTGTCTTACCATCCCTCTATACTGCATTGAATACTTTAGTGCTAGATGTACACTGAAGCATGTCTATATTTCAGACGTACTTTCATGTGAAGCATGTTATATTCCATCCAGTTATTCTCGAGGGAAGCTGAGTATTTCTTGAAGCACTTGAATGTCTATATGTCAGACATTCTTTCATGTGAAGCAGAATAAGACATTTAGAACAGAAATGCTTATAATTTACACGCCTTGATGTGAGCAAGTACTTTTGTTGCTGAAGGTTGTCACTCCACTACAGTTGGCTTATCACTTTGTGAAATCATATTGAAGATACTTCTTTTCCCTTTTTTCGAATTGGCAGACAGAATGTGATTTTCCGAGTAAGATGCTCAAAAGGTACCTATGTCCGATCACTTTGTGCAGACTTCGGGAAAGCTCTTGGCAGGTACCATATAAAGATAATATTTAATACTTAAAAAGGTTCTCCTTTTGTGATGGATGATGAGAAATGACAAATCTTTGGGTGATGCATAATTTCTTTTTAATTCTTAATTTTCTTATAAGTGGATTCAAACCCAAGCTAAAATTTTTACTTGCAGTTGTGCTCACTTGACAGCTCTGCGACGAGATTCAATTGGTAAGACACTATTATTTTGAATTTGATTATTTATAGTAAGTCCTGAAAGTCTTGCTTGTCTTGTTTACATCTGAAAATAGTTGCGGAAGGGGTTCCCTTTATCTAGAACATCAAGAGATACGAGAGGTCTGCATTGCTGTGAGCAGATCGTATAACAATGCTATTGTAGTATTAGAGAATGTTGCCTGAATCTTGCACCTAATAACATGGCAGAGAACACCATATCTGCCTTTTATCTGAAGCAGTCTTGAATTCCACAAGCCGAATCAATCCTAATTCCTTCAAGTACTTGTTCAGTAGCTAATTGTGCTCTCTTTACCTCTCACAGGAGAGTATACAGCGGATGATGCTTGGGAATTTCAAGAATTGGAAGAGGCAATCACCAAAGGATATTTGTAAGATTCTTTTTGAGATTGCATGGGCAGAGTTATCCAGTACATGTGCTGGTGAGAAGCTGCAGGTATCAGCGGAAAAGTAGATGCCCACAGGCTGGCCTGGACACCACCATTACAGAAGAAACAGTTCTTGGAAAATCCACATTTTTGGTGGCAATTGGAGATCTATACATATTTATGTTCTGTCTAGCTACCTCAACAAAGAGTTAATAGTATTTTCACCTTCTCCACATTACCTCTTTCCTTGGCCCCCAATTTTGCTTCGTTTCTGGGCGAAAGTGGTGTTAGAACCTTTTAATAGCATATAGATTAGGATGAGTTGTAATATATCTTTATTTTTCAAGAAATGCTGGTATCAATTAGATTTGTTAATGTTACAATCTTTACTATGGCACCTTTCAAAGTATCAAGTGCCGCGGAAAATAATATTTTTATCTGTTATCAGATCAATTCTGTTAACTCAAAGCAACCATAGAACACAAAACAAAAGATGAATTATATTAATATAAGGAGAATACATATATTTCTTTCTACCCACACTTGGAACTCTAAACAAGTAGTATTAGATATTTGCACACAAAAGAAGTCGGAAATTCTACAAGCATTCTAAACTAGTGAGTCACCTAATTAGTTGTGGAATTAGGGGGATCCATTCCCATTGCCTTGTAATAGGCCATCTCTGCAGTAGCCATGCGATCCTGAAACATTGTCCATTCTCTCCGACACCTTTCTCTTACCTGAGACAAAACAAATGCTGGACTTAGACATATAATCAGAGATCAACACACTCCGATTACTCAAAAACACTTGCAGAATCATAGGAAGTATGGGTTTGAGTTCACATACGTTAACAGAGATCTTGTGTGATATAATGAAAAGAACAAGCATCTTAAATTTCATCTACCAGCACAAAAGTTTGAACGTGGTTTGACATATTCATAATGCAAATTCAAAATGTGACCATTAGTTCTTTCAATTCATTTTTTCCTTAATCATCTGTCATTAATGGTCAAATTTCACCATACATGAAAATGAAATATAGCTAACATACCCCTTCCCATGGTGCCTTGCCATTCTCCGATTTACCCTGTAGAAATAAGAAAAGAAGATAATCATTATAGCCAACATTTATGCTAGTCTGATATACTCCAATTACATCTGAAAGTTGGATATACCTGGCTTCCAAGAGATGGAACAGTTTGATGTACAATCCACTGAGCATCTACAACTCCTATCTTTTCATGAGCGGGCTGCTCATCAAAAGTAACTATTAGGAAAAAGGTCATTTCAAATGGAACATATGGGAATTTTTATGCACAGCACAACTACTAACCTCCACACATCTCCTAAGCGCAAAATCAAGGCCCCATCCATGGACCAAGTCATTCTGCAATAAAGAATCAATATTGCTTTTCATTTTACTCTACATTTCTTTCTTTGCTGGCTCTACTTTGAAGTTTGTGGGAGAGGGGCCAAGGGTGGGGCGGGAGCCTTGGGGGAAGCTGTTGCAATGAATGGAAAAACATGAAAGATCTTTAATAATTGATACCTGGATCATATGCCAAACACACCGCCACGCCTCTCGAGAGAAAACCGGTGCCATGATCTCAACAAATCTGATTGCAAACAAAATAATAGTCAACATAGACACCAACCCTCCTTTTTCATTTTTGATAAATAATACTGAGACACAAACATTAAGTGACAAGAGTTATTATTGGTAAATATCAAGCATTACATACGCTGCACAAGGTGGCAAATGTGGATCAGTGCACCAGCCTGGCCTTTCCTCTGTTTCCCTATTAGCAGAAGCAATAAACTGTATATGAGATCAAGCTTGGCATATTAATCAAAGCAGTTGTAGATACAGTTAAAGTACTGCATTCCCTACTTGTGAACTTCAGTGTCATTTCTCCCTTTTGTCATCTGCCATGTCAACCCACTGTTTGGTTCTAAACCAGGCTGTGAAATATCCAAACCATGTTTCATCACCAACTTTATATATCTGCAGTTGCATAAAGCCTCAAGACTCCACATAATTCAATATATTTGTTAATTCACATGCCTCTAATAATAATCACTTACTCCTCCGCGTTAAAATTTTCAAGCCCCAAGTCTTCATCCCAGATGAATATATAGTCATATGGTGCTACAATGTCAGGATGTAGAAAACGTTTTGCATACCACCTTTCAAAAAAATGAATAAACACTGCACTTACATATCCATCAAAATATGTTGAAGAATTGAGGATAGAAAGAATTTGCAAGAAGGGTACCATTTAGTCTGTTTTGGTGTACTGACATGGATAGCCCGCGATGACCACTCAAGGTCATCCCATTCAGTTGTTCGGCCGTCATAGTGAAACAGCATAATGGTAAAGTTCTCTGAAAACTGTTTACAATACAAGAATAAGAATGTAAAGATACAAAAGTAAAATTTTGGACTTGAATATTCCTAAGTTGGCAGCATACCCACCCTTAACCTACATTTTCTTTCTATATGTTCCATTTTGAAATGTAAATCATGAGTGGCAAACAATCCAACTTAGCGATCATGCAACAACCAATAGTGGGCCTTGACAATAACAGAAAAGCTTTAAAACTTTCAAAGAAAAAAGAAACCAAGACTTGGATGGGTAGCAAGAGCCAATACTGGGCAATAGTAAAATGAGACCTCTGTGTGTGGTGCTAGCCACCCTACAATGAGTGCCTGTCTCTGGTAATTCTAATTCTGTAATGAGATTAAATGTGGGATTGGCAATAAGATTGATTCTTAATGATTTGCAGAGATTCATCAATAAATTTACATACATGTTACAGGAACTAAGGAAAACATTATAGATAAGAACAGCCAAGGTATTGCACATAAAACAAAGCAAGACTTATGCTCAAACAAAGAAAAAAATTAGTTACGCTTCTGGTCCTTATACATGAACAAAATAACCCCCCAAAAGGACAGAGCAGTGCTCAAAAGAGCGACTTCAAGGAAAATGAGATAGAGAGACTCGAGCACAACCTTTTTCACTGCTGCATCAATGTTACTCTTCTGCTTGAGGCCAACTGTGAAGGTCACAAGGTACCTTGGCTTGATGATCAAGTCCTGCATACCAATTAATGGAGCTGATTATGCTAGAGGGACATCATACACAATCATTATGTTTTCTCATCCCAAAAATAAAGGCAAGGAAAGGAGAGAGAGACATGGACATCGTTCACTTTTAACACACAATGACATTCTAAAATCACATTTTAGCTGCCCTTGAACTGGTTCTCACCAAATCATTATAGAATGTTTGTTTGAGCACTAGAAACCAGAAGAATGCAACTATGTATCTATCAGTCCACTTCAGCAGTTCCTTCAATATATCTTATTCAGATACTCTTTCCCTATCCATCTAACATGTGTCTGATATGAACACCCTCCTTCCAATTTTGCTTGTATGAAAACCGTCCCTCCAATTCACATAATGCCATGGATGATTTTTTTTGCATTTTAAGCCACAAATAATGCCATCAATTCACATAACATGAGCAAGTAAATGTAGACAAGTAATAAGAAGAATCAATAGAGTACTTCAATAGGCATACATGCAGAAATGACAGACCTCACTTGGCAGGCCCCACAGCCTTCGAGTATAAAGATCAGACTCAGAAGCTACAATACCGGGGGTAGCCTCTCGGCGCCTCTGGGATTTGATGGAACCCAAATCTGCAAGATTTCCCCAAATAGCATAAAGATCAAACATCAATTGGGTATACAAACTTCCAAAAGATGGTATCATGGAAGTGCAATCTTATAGGATTATCTACTATAACAAACAGTGACAAGTAACAAGAAGCTGATGGAGCCTATAGGAGTGACAAGTAAAATACCTTCGGGGTCTTATTCTTGTGTAAACTGCCCACACGATCCCTCAAGGATTTCAAAACATTTAATAGAGCTTGAGTTGAGAGGCCCGACTTTTCCATGTCAGGTGGATCAATCGATGGGATAAGATTAGTAGGTAAGGGCAGCTGCAAAATTGAAATCCACAAGCACATTACCTTATTAGCTCTTATTCAACTGAGACTTAAAAATAAAATGTCCCCATTAAATATGTTTATATCAAGATCAAAATCAGAAGTAGCTCCCCTTGCCTTGGACAATGAAATTGTAGGAAAGGTTACACCTAGGAAAAATCCGAATACAACTCCAATAAAAGTAGTCACAAAAAGCCTCATCTTTTCATTCCGTCTTCTTGAGTTTGAGCTGTGGAAATTCAGCAGTAAATAAATAAATGGATCAACCAATCAATTACGCCTCAATCCCAAACCAGTTGGAATGCTTATATGAATAAATTTGTGTCAAATGAAGAACCTGCGTTTCATAGGCGTCCCCATCTTAGTCACAAGCTCGCAATCCTTTCCAGAATCAGAAAAGGACTAACATCTGCTTAGCCCAAATATGAGTTGGGAGATTCCTAAAACCAGAAAGCAAAAAAAGGATCAGTACTTTGCAATTACTAAACACTTTGAGTAAAGTTCCCATTTTTCCATTCATTATATCTCAAAGATTTATTAATTACTACTTAACTTGGTCTATACAAGTAAGTCAAATATTAGTAAAAGACAAATAATTGCAATCTTGGACAAACAGTAGTCAAATATTAGCCTAAAAAAGAAGCAGAAAATTTTCTTGAAATGTTATAAAAAGTAAAAACATATATATCTGAAGAGAGAGAAGTTGAAATCTTGAATCTAGAATCGAACCTGAAGTTGAAGTTGCTGATCTGAAAGATTAGGAAAGTAAGAATCTATGCTTCACCAAAATCAAAATTTGGAATGTTGTTAAGTTTTCAATGTTTCATCGGAATCTTTAATATAGGAAAATATCCAACCTTGGAATCGTCAAAAGGATATGTATACTTTGTCGAGATGTCGTTGCAAGTAAACTCAAAATCCAAACACATGAAGACCAGTCCTCTTCCCTTTTCACTCTTTTTTTTTTAATGTATTTAATGGGTAATGTTAAATAACTACTATTTGATTTTGAAATAAAAAGTCCTTATGGAGTAACAGATAATAAAAATGGATATTGATATTAACAGGACCGACAGATGGAAACTCACTTCATGAAGTGAACATAAATCTTGAATATGCAGATTCAAATTTTTTTTTTATTCGTATATATGCTAGTAGTGGAAAAAAATTAATTTAATAGATACAGAATTAATTTCATCAAGAAAATACAAAAAGAAATGATCAAAAAAAATTATGTGGTCACTTTAACGTCGATATATAACTTTGGAGAGGTCTTAAAGAAAAAAATGTCATGTAAATTGAAATAGTATCAATCTTAATTTTTAAGAATTTATCTAAATATTTACTCTATTAAGTTACCTGAAATTTATTTATTAGTAACTTCTATAAAAATGAGTTTGTAACTTTAAAAATAAAATATTTATCTGCTACCACAAAAAGGTAAATTTATAGAATCATGAGTTGATATTAGTTAAACTCTAATAAAATAATTAATTACTAACTATATTGTTACAACTCAGAGAACATGGGATTTGGCTTTTCGGTTTGAATTTATGTGGCTACAGATTTGGAAAATTTCGTTTACGCCAAAAGCAAAATTAGCAACGGATCCATATATTAATCATGTATAATTGTCTAATTAACTATATTTGAAATTGTTAAATCCACACCTTGTTTTATGCATCAAACAAGAGTAGAATAATAAGGTTAGCTAAAACAACAAAATTAGAGAATCAAAGAAGGTAATAGTAATTACCTTGTTATTTTATTCACTATTTTTAGACGGTTACAAAGGAAGAAATGATCACTTATGGTCTTCGCTATTTTTAGATGATTACAAAGGAAGAAATGATCACTTACAAATTAAATAAAATAATATGATATTTTCATATTTTTTACATGTAAAAAACATAAAAATCTCCTATAAAAATGACATAAAATTTAAAACAAATTTATAAAGATTTACAAAATTAAATCTCCCGTTACAAAATCATTGTTGCATGATAATGTACTTTCAACAGCTCACTCAATTGTATATAGTATATTGTCCAGCAATAGATTGCACCTGTACAGACAAATTTAGAAGACAATGGTTAAATAATACCTACTATAGTTTATTTAGAGACAAGGGTAACAATAACATATTTAGTGTAATTTTATTTTTTTTGATGACAAGGGAAATCCGTAGCCGCTACCCTTTGGGTGCGCACAAGGTAAAACCCCCGCTCGTATGCAATAGCTCGCAAACCACATAGGAGAGGTAACCTGCACTAGACAAGCCCGGTGCGACGAGCTCGACCCAGAAGGTAAACCCCTTGATTTCGCTGGCAAGTGGTTTCGAACTTGAGACCTCCAACATGAAAGTCCCAAGCCCAAATCACTGGGCCACCCCGAAGGGTATATTTAGTGTAATTCCCACACGTGAAATTTGGGGTGTAGGCATACCTTGTCCCTATCTCGTGGTTATTAAGTGCAAGTGATTTTCAACCCCAATAATACCAAACATTATTGACTATTCATCAAGAGAGATTACCATTAAATATTTTATAACACAAAGGTCAAATTGACATCAACTAAGAAAGCATACAACATTGGAGACAAATTGTCTAAACTCAGACGGCAGAAATGCATGAGGAAGAAACAAATGGAGAGCAACAGATGAAACAAAAAAAATAATGTCCTAAACTTGTTTTTCTAACATCAAATATTGCACCAAGTGATTAGGATGATAAGAATAATGAAATAGTACTTTTAACAAAACAAACAAACAAAAAACCTCTCTTGTAAGTTAGTCGACAGATAATTGTTAACTTACTTGCATTGACAGGGCAAAAAATATTCAGAAAATCAGATTACTTGTAGGTAAATCTATATGATTGGTAACTAACTAGTACTAATGATGGTGTAAAAAAATGTAAGTATATAACTTAAATTAAAAAAGAAGTGTTGACATCCTAATCATATGACATTTTACCTAATGAGATGTAGAATTAGGGGGATCAATTCCCTTTGTCTTGTAGTAATAATCTTTCTCTGCACCAGCCATACGCTCCTTGAACATTGCCCACTCTCTCTTACACCTTTCTCTTACCTATAAGCCAGAATGAAAACTGAACTTACACAATATAATCAATGATCAGCATTTTCTTTGTAACAGAATCAAGAAAAAATGTGTGAGATGGAAATTTCATGGAGAAGGTTTCTCCAAATAATGCATCATCAGGAAGTTCAGATAGAACAACCAATATTGTGTGATACAATGAAAAGGACAAGCATAATTTCGTTCATGAACCCAAATGATTTGAACTCAATCTACAAGTTCATTTTGCAAATTCAAAATGTGATTATATTGTTTTTTGGTTGATATTTCATATTTCTCAAATTTCAATTTAGTGGAGGATCAGATATTGCGGCATACCCCTTCCCATGGTGCTTTGCCCTTCTCTGCTTGTCCCTGTTGAAAGAAGCTAACATTACTTCCAAACTTATAACCTAGTAGGATAAAAAAAAAGGCTGAAACGGGGATAAACCTGGTTCCCGAGTGAAGGGACAGTTTGATGAACAATCCACTGAGAATCTACCACTCCTATCTTTTCGTGGGCTGGCTGCTCATCCAAAAGCATTATTAAGATAAGGCCAGTTGAATAAGAATACAGGAGAATTTTACACCACTGCATAAGGTGGATTACTTACTTCCACACATTTCCTGAGAGCTAAATCGAGACCCCATCCATGGACCAAATCATTCTGCAATAACAAATAACAACTCATATTTGCATTCACGAAATGGTTACTTATCCTCCAACCCTGCCTCCTCTTATGTGCAATATTCATTTTCATTTTTCTCTATATTTCCCACTTTTGCAGGGTTGTTTTTCCAGATTATAGAAGGGGTCTGAAGGGGGAGGGGGTCAGCTGCAATAAATGTCAAAAAAGATGGAACATTGTTTATACCTGGATCATATACCAAACACACCGCCATGCATCTCTAGAGAAAACAGGTGCCATGATCTCCACAAATCTGGATGCAGATGACAAAAAGAAAAACTACTGATGCCAACCATCAAGCGAGAAGGTAGTTCATAGAAAAAGTATCACGCATTAACATACCCTGAACATGGTGGCAAGTGCGGATCAGTGCACCAGCCAGGTCTTTCCTCTGTTTCCCTGCAAGCACAAACAATAGACTGCATATGAGATCAGTGCTATGTGTACATGGGATGCTTTAGTCTGCAGTTATAGATAGTAATGCAAGTGACCCTACTTGTGGACGTCAGTGTCATTTCGTCTTTTTGTCATCCGCCATGGCAACTCACTATTTGATGCTACACCAGGCTGTGAGATATCCAACCCATGTTGCTTTACCAACTTTATATATCTGAAGTTGCAATTGTAATAAAACATTAGAGTTCATAAAATTCAACATATCTGATTCACAAGAATGTGTGAAAAATCATTCGTACTCCTCTGCATCAAAATTCTCAAGCCCCAAGTCTTCATCCCAGATAAATATATAGTCATAGGGTGCTACAATATCCGGATGCAGAAAGCGTTTTGCATACCACCTTTCAACACAATGAAAAAACTTTTACAAATGCACCAAAATGTACTGAAACACTTAAGAACAAAGGAAGTTAAAACAGTTACCATTTAGTTTGCTTTCGTGTACTAACATGGATAGCCCGCTTTGACCACTCAAGGTCATCCCATTCACTTGTTCGACCATCATAGTGAAACAACATGAAGGTAAAATTCTCTGAAAACTGTTAAAGATGCAACTGTAAGCATGCACAGCCACAAGAGATGAAGGTATGTTTAGTCTGTGGACAAAATTATGGGAAACTATAATCCCACTGAGGAACATGCTGGGACTATTGCAGGAAGTGTCTCATTTAGGGGCACATACAGGATATAATCGAAGGAAAGAGACATTACAACTATTGAAAATATCAATAATCACGAGCGAAGTTAAGTGTACACAAATCAAGCAACATAAACTCCATAAGAGAAAAAGATGATATAACATCTTCTTGGTGTGTTGGTGATGAAGAAGCTCAAACTCACGACAACAATGGAGGACAAAGGAAAGACATAGTTTCAAAGTGTGAAGTGAACAAGGTTCAGACACATTTATTTCCTTTTAGACTTGTGCATCACAACCGTCCATCACAAGACAATAAAATTAAATCAAGACCGTTGGTTCAAAGTTTGATTGAGACACCTGGATGAGCTGACTCATCATTTTGGAAGCTTCCACAATATTGATATTTCAAATTATCTGATTTCTCTATTTTTTGTATAAATTAAAATTCTATATTATCTATAGGCTAGACTAATAGGATTTGTACAAGTGTCCTAGGCATAACAGATTTTGATTCCTTTTTTACTGTATTTATACATGTACAGCTTGAGAAGAAATACACAGTGAGAATTTCACAATTCCTATCGTTTTTTTCTTCCAAGATGGTATCAGAGCAATAGATCCCTCACTAATTTTTCGTTGCTCCTCTTTCTCTGATTTCCTTTCACCATGGTGAATACTCAACCATCTGATACCCCTGTTGCTTCTCCTGTTGTTCTCCCAGGAACTCAGCCTCTTCCTCCTCCTCAAACCTCCAGCAACAATGACCATTCTCATCCCTTTTACCTGCATCCTTCAGATTCCCCTGGGATGCTCTTGGTGAATTCTACCTTCAATGGTAATGGCTATGGAGCATGGAGAAGGGCCATGTTCATAGCTCTTTCAGCTAAGAATAAAATCGGCTTGATTGATGGCACCTTCTTAGAACCTCAGATCTATGCCCCTCTTTATACTGCTTGGAGTCGCTGTAATGACATGGTGATTTCTTGGCTGCTCAACTCCTTGTCTAAGGAAATTGCTGAAAGCGTTCTCTATTCCAGAACTGCTAGAAACATCTGGCAAGAATTAGAGGACAGATTTGGTCAAAGCAATGGGGCTATGCTCTATCAACTTCAAAAGGAACTTAGTGATCTCACTCAAGGTAATTCTGATGTTGCAGGGTATTTTACTAAGGTAAAGAGAATTTGGGATGAGTTAGACAGTCTAGATACCTGCAATCACTGCTCTTGTGAATGTTCTTGTGGAGGAAAGGACAAAACCCTGAAGTCACACCAAGTGGGTAGGCTCATTCAGTTCCTCATGGGCTTGAATGACACTTACTCAGGTGTTAGGAGCAACATCCTAATGTCCACTCCTATGCCAAGCATCAATCATGCTTACTCACTCCTGATCCAGGATGAGAAACAAAGGGAGATACGAGTTTCTCAACACTCTGCTGAATCTGCATTCATGACAACAAAAAATCAGTTTGGGGCTCAAAGATTCAACAGATATCCCGAGGCTAAGAAAAACACGCTTCAATGCTCACACTGCAAGAAACCAGGGCACTCTGCTGACAAATGTTATAGAATCATAGGTTTTCCAGCAGATTTTAAATTTACCAAGAGTAAAAAGACTCAGTTTGGTACTGCTCATGGACATGCTGCAGTTGCTTCTGAAGCTGAAGGGAGTAAATCAACTTCACAACAGCACATCACTCAAGAACAATACAACAACATATGTCATCTTCTCCAGCAGTTTAAGTTTGAATCTCCAGAAGAATTGAGTTCTGAAGTCACAGTCACTGCCAATTGTGCTGGTATCCCTGAACACTCTGCTCTAAAATCTGATTCTATTGTTTGGATCCTTGACTCAGGAGCCTCTGAACATATGACTTGTGATTTAAATCTCTTGTTTAATGTTAGGGCTCTTACTAAACCTGTTTTTGTCAACCTTCCTAATTCACAAAGGGTAAAAGTTACACAGGCAGGATGTGTAAACATTTTTCCCAATTTCACTATCTCTAATGTGTTGTTTCTCCCTAGTTTCAAGTACAATCTATTATCAGTTCATCGATTCTGTCAACTAGGTGATTCTATTCTCATTTTTTCTGCTTCTTGTGCTATTTTGCAGGCCCCTTCAATGAAGAGGCCAGTGGTTCTTGGTAGACAAAAGGAAGGACTCTATCTACTTCACTCATTCAAGCCTCGTACTAGTTCTTTAAGCAAAATCAAGGACTCTTGTCCAATGTCTTTCATTTGTAGTAGTGATCAGATTGTTTTTCCTATTTCATGCTCAGCAGTTGGTTCTTCTGATGTAATCCTCTGGCACAATCGTTTGGGGCATTTGCCCTTATCTAATATGAGAAATATTCCCTCTATTACTTGTTCAAATTCATCTTCTTTCCTTGATCATTGTGTTATTTGTGCTAAAGCAAGACAAGTTAAATTACCTTTCCAATCTAGCACAATATCAACCACTGACATCTTTGAACTAATTCACATTGACACTTGGGGGCCATATAAAGACTCTACACATGATGGTTTTAAGTATTTTTTAACCATTGTTGATGATTTCAGTAGAGGGACTTGGACTTATCTCTTAAGTGCTAAGTCTAATGCTTTTCCTGTCCTTAAAACATTCTTAGCAATGATAGAGAGGCAATTTTCCAGAAAAGTCAAAAAAATTAGATCAGATAATGCCCTAGAACTTGGGACTAGTTTGGAAGCCTCTCAGTTCTTTTCTTCACAGGGTATTTTACATCAAACTACTTGTGTCTACACCCCTCAACAAAATGGAGTTGTTGAGAGAAAACACAAGCATTTGTTGGAGACTTGTAGAGCCCTTTTATATCAATCTAATTTGCCTATTTCTTTTTGGGGTGAGTGTCTATTGACTGCAACTTTTCTTATTAATAGATTTCCTTCTAAGACTCTCCAACACAAGAGCCCTTATGAGATTTTGTTTGGTACTCCACCTTCTTATGAGAATCTAAGAGCTTTCGGTTGTCTTGCCTATGCTTGCACTCTACCTATTCACAGATCCAAATTAGATCCTAGGTCTATTCCTTGTGTTTTCATTGGATATCCAGCTGGAAAGAAAGGTTTCAAGCTCCTAAACCTCAAATCAATGCAAGTGTTTGTTTCTAGAAATGTTAAATTTCATGAAGCTATCTTTCCTTTCATTTCCCAAACTGTAAATCCTCTTTTCTTTCCTGTCCATTCTCCTTCTTTCCATGTTTCTGATGATTTTACCCTTCCAGTTCCTACTCCTCCAACTTTTCCCTTTTCTGATACTTTAACTTCTTCTTCTACTGGCCACTCTCCATCTCCTACATCTTTGGTGTCCCCAGATCGATCTCCTTCTCCTGTTGTTCCTACTTCCCTCATTCCTACCAGAGCATCTACTAGAGCACATAAAACCCCTAGTTACTTGAAAGATTATATTTGTAATTCAGTCTTTCTTTCCCCTGCCACTACATCCTGTTTCTCTACTCCTATTCAACCTTCTGTGCTTTCTTTTTCTGCTTTGTCCTCTACAAATCAAGCCTTGCTCAACTCCACTTCCCATATCTCTGAACCTACTTCCTATTCCCAGGCTTCACTTCATCCTGGTTGGCAAATGGCTATGACTAAAGAATTTGAAGCTTTAAATTTAAACAAAACCTGGGATGTTGTTATGTTACCTGCAGGGAAAAAGGCCTTGCCCTGCAAATGGGTCTACAAGGCAAAATACAGGTCTGATGGTGCTTTAGAGAGGTTAAAGGCTCGTTTGGTCGTTAGAGGTGACATACAAAGACAGGGTATTGATTTTACTGAAACTTTTTCACCCGTAGTCAAGATGACTACTATCAGGTGTATCCTAGCAGTGGCAGTCAAGTTAGGTTGGGATCTTTTCCAATTGGACGTAGACAATGCCTTCCTGCATGGTGATTTGCAGGAAGAGGTTTACATGAAATTCCCACCAGGGATGTCAGCCCCTTCCCCCAACTATGTTTGCTTATTAAGGAAATCGTTATATGGGTTACGCCAAGCATCACGACAGTGGTATGCTCGACTCACAGCTGCTTTGAGTTTTAAAGGCTATTCTCATTCTCTCAACGATTATTCCTTATTTTTCAAAAGTTCAGGTGGTCTTATCACTATGCTAGCGGTATATGTTGACGACATATTGATTACAGGCAATGACTTACCTGAACAACAACAACTTAAGAATTTTCTTCATGCTGAATTTCGGATTAAGGACCTTGGTAAAGCTCATTTTTTTCTAGGCATGGAAATTATTCGAGAACCTACTGGATTGATTCTGACTCAGAAGAAATTTACCTTTGAATTGCTTCAAGAGTTTGATTGTTTTGGTCTCCGACCAGCTTCCTCTCCACTTGATCCCACTCAGAAACTTTTCGCCGATAAGGGTGAGCTTCTGTCGGATCCAACTTTGTATCGTCGGCTTTTAGGTAAACTCAACTTCTTGACCCACACCCGGCCGGATCTCTCTTTCACTGTGCAACATCTTTCTCAGTTTATGCAGACCCCTCGTCAACCTCATTTGGACGCTGTTTTCCACTGTCTCCGTTATTTGCTCAAAGAACCCAATTTGGGGCTTCTCATGAATGTTGATCCATGTCTTCAATTAGTTGCTTTCTGTGACTCCGATTGGGGGACTTGCCCTGAATCTCGTCGTTCCGTTAGTGGATATTATATAAGTTTTGGAGGTTCTCCTGTTTCATGGAAATCAAAGAAACAATCTTTAGTATCTCTATCATCTGCTGAAGCAGAATACAGATCTATGCGACGGGTAGTTGCTGAGATTACCTGGTTGGTGCGATTGTTCGCTGATCTTTCCATCACCCCATCTCTTCCTGTCACTTTGCACTCCGATAGCCAGGCTGCGATTCATATCGCGAAGAACCCAGTTTTCCATGAACGGACGAAGCACGTCGAACTCGACTGTCACTTCGTCCGGCAACAATTTCTAGCTGGTCTCATTTCCCTCTCATATCTACCCTCTCACTCTCAGCTCGCCGACGTTTTCACCAAGTCGTTATCTGGTCCTTCTCATAGATCGAATGTTCACAAGTTGGGGGTTACTTCCTCTCCCTCCAACTTGAGGGGGGATGTTGGTGATGAAGAAGCTCAAACTCACGACAACAATGGAGGACAAAGGAAAGGCATAGTTTCAAAGTGTGAAGTGAACAAGGTTCAGACACATTTATTTCCTTTTAGACTTGTGCATCACAACCGTCCATCACAAGACAATAAAATTAAATCAAGACCGTTGGTTCAAAGTTTGATTGAGACACCTGGATGAGCTGACTCATCATTTTGGAAGCTTCCACAATATTGATATTTCAAATTATCTGATTTCTCTATTTTTTGTATAAATTAAAATTCTATATTATCTATAGGCTAGACTAATAGGATTTGTACAAGTGTCCTAGGCATAACAGATTTTGATTCCTTTTTTACTGTATTTATACATGTACAGCTTGAGAAGAAATACACAGTGAGAATTTCACAATTCCTATCGTTTTTTTCTTCCAAGATGGTGAAGATAAAGAAACACTAAACAAGGTTTTGTTGGTTACTTGTATCTACAAACATGCAAACAAATTTTGTATCAATCAAAATAGCTAATGCTTAGTTGAGCATTAAAAACCAAATATTTTGTTGCTTTTATTCATTGTACTGAAGTAAAATTGAATAGAAAATAGTCAAACAATCAACTCAAAAAACAAATACTAGAAAATGGAAAATCTCAACATTTCCTGTTGTCAAAAGATCAAATGTTCCCAAAAACTTTTTGCCTTCCACAACTTGTTATTTTCTGTCCCATTTAAGAATTCTGAGTAAAGTTTTGAATCTCCAACATCACTTTTCTAAAGCATTCGGAAACCTAAAACATGATTGCAGTTGCAGGCAAAAGCTATATGTTAAGATATGTTGCAAACAAAACTTAGGTTAGGGCTTATCTAGTCCCTTATTCACAATTAAACGATCCCCTGGAAGGACAGGGCTCAAAGGAGTGAATAGAGGGAAATAGAGATAGAGAACGGTTGAACCTAACCTTTTTCACTGCCACGTCTATGTTATTTTTCTGCTCGTAGCCAACTGTAAAGCAAACAAGATACCTAGGTTTGATAATCAAGTCCTGCAGATCAATTGATGAAACAGACTCAGATAGAGTGATATAATGTGTAGTCATTATGTTTCTCTATCCCAAAAAAAAAGGAAAGCAAGTGAGAGAGAAGCATCATTGAGGGTGTTAACTCATAATTGTATACTAAAAATCATGTTTCAGCTAGCTATACACTATTCTCGCCAGTCATCAGTCATCACAGTGGATTATAGAAAGTTCAATGTCGAAAACTATATTGACAGCTGAGGCATACTGTTTCTTCAAAGCCCAACAAAATCAGGAGGAGGCAAGCATGTAAATATCCCACTTCAGCAAGTACGTTACTTCCAATCAGACTTTCTTGGTTTCCTATCCATCCAAAAATCTTTAAGCAAACTACTTTAAAGATTGTTAGTAAGGCAATAAAGTTAAAAGGGTGTATCACAAGCAATTATTAGTTTTATATGAACTCCATGCAATTTCTTTGACTTATAAACTATTCGTGACAACCAATATCCCTGAAATCCACTTCAAGATATGTTAGTATGTGAACTGAGCATGTCATTATTTATGGAAAGAAGCCCTTTTGCTAATGTGTAACACATGAATCATTTTCTTGCATTCTAAACCTCCCCCTGAAATCAACTTCAAGGTATGTTAGTACCATGAACTGAGCATATCATTTATGTAAAAGGCCTTTTTATCAATGTGTTAAAACATGGATGTTTCCTTTGCATTCTAAACCCCACTCTATTGACTACTTTAGATAGGCATCAAGGCTGAAAACACACAGACCTCACGGGGTAGGCCCCACAACCTTCGAGCATAAAGATCAGACTCAGATGCAACGATATCCGCTGGTAGCCTCTCAGCACCTCGAGGGTTTGATGGAACCCAAATCTGCAATATTTGTGCAAATAGCATAAGTCTTGAAAGGCGGTATAAATTTCCAAAAGACTTAGTACAATCTTATCTCTATATAATTAAAGTTGACCCTCAATATCTGAATGTAATAATAAAATGGAAACAAAAAAATTGTAGCACCAAAGTCTCAAGAGAAGCTGGTTGGAGCCTATATAAGCGGCAAATCTTATAACCTTTGTGTCGGAATGCTTGTGGCCGTGTGAATGGCCTCTGTATTTCTTAAGGGAAGACAAGACATTTAATAGATCTTGCGCTGAGAGGCCTGAATATTTCTCCTCAATGTAAGTGAGATTAATTAACCCAAAAAGATTAGAAGGTAAGTTCAGCTGCAATATTGAAATACACAAGCAGATCATCTTATCAGCTCTTATACAAAAATGAGGCATTAAATCAGGGGAGCACTTAGCAGTGAGTGTTTTTCGCATATGTGTGTGTGCATTTGCTCTTCAAATACAGTAAGAATTCAGAAGAGACATTGATTCTACATCTTAAAGATCCACCCCGATTAAATAGTTATGTATCTTATTAAATTCAAAAGCCAAAGTAACTCCCTTGCCTTGGTCAATGAAAGTGTAGGAAACGATACGCCTAAGAAAATACCAATCACAACTCCGACAATGGTTGTCACAAGAAGCCTCATCATTTCATTTCCTCTTCTGCTGTTTGAGCTGTCACAGAAGGTCTAAGTTAAAAACTAAATATTCTCTCGATAAAAGGACCCATAAATCACTTTAAAACTAAAAACCTGCGCGTAGGTGAACCCATTCCCCTCGGAGCAGTTTCAGAATCACAAAAAGGAGAAACCGCAAAGAGTTGACTTCAGTGATCCACAACAGAAATGCCAAAACTGTATTGCATTATGGTCAACCCTAAAACATCAAAATGATTCCTGTACAGTTACAAATCAATTTCAGTTCCCTTATCCCAAAATTTGATTACTTACACCACACTAATCAATTCAAATTTCACATTGCTCCAATTATCTGTTGGATAATTGCCTTTGAAATTATGCAGAAATTTCTAAATTTTCCATAAATATACCTCAAGGGGCTAATCCGGAGGATTAAGGAAAGCCAAAGAGTTGCAGAGCTATCAGAAAAAACTCAATCCTATATGATCATCAATCCATTAATGCAATTAATTTAGGTAATTTACATAGCGTTTGAATTGTCAAACAGACTTGAATTGTTCTTGCTAAAAATTAGTGCCAAGTCAACCCTTGTCGGTGCCATGCTCCAGCACGTCTTATGAGCGGGAAATTTAAATTGTATTCCCAAATTAAGTGGGACTAGTAAAATCACCCGCGAGAATATCACGAAATTTATAAAATAATACTTAAAACTTATCCGTCACTAAAACAAAAACATTATATTATCTTACATACAAGATTACGTAGTAACAAACATTGATAATGTAAAGGAAGATGATAATTATAACATCTTATCATTTATCCTTCAATCAATCATCTTTAGTTTGATTTTATAATTTATCATTTTGCTTCCAAGAAGTGTTGCTATTTGATATTTTTGGGGAATCAAATGAACATCAACTGGAGATATTAAATTTTCTAATAAATAAATAATCGTTGGTGAAGGGATGAATAAATTTTAAAAGATTGAAAAAAGTGAACAAATATTTTAATTCTAATGTGTAGATAGTTCAGCCCTACCGTTTGCTTTACATATATCGTTTTAAAATTCTCCATTTAAATGTATCATAAGTAATTATTAAAATGAAAAATTAAAGGGAGAATGTATCATATGGGACAATAATTCAACTTATTATATATACTTGAAAGGAAAAATATTACATAAAACTATTCAGTTTATTTGGGTGTTTTTAAAAAATCAACATACCAGAGTGATGAAGTTCAATTTGAAACTACAATTTCAGTAGAGAAAACTTGCGTGAATACTCAATTAACGTGTGTTATTTAATTTGTACTAACAATTACTTGTAACAATAACTTTGCATAACAAAAACAACAAAGTTTAATACAAACATATCAGGATCTGTAACAATTGAATGAAACAGAAAGGAAAAAATCAAGCTCATTGAATGCACAGTGCCCCCTTAATTAAGAAAATTATTCCCCTCTAGTACCCGATATTTAAATGAATAGATCCTCTCAAGATAAAACTATTATATTCACCAGTGTATTGATACAAAAATAATATTTAATTGTGCAGAAGAAAAAGAAGTTCAAGAATTTTCGTTGTTTTAAAATGAGAGGAAATCCCTCTATTTATAAACAACAAAGGGTAGTGTGAACAAATATTTATTGTGCCTTATCGGAAAGGTCACAACTCTTTGGAAAAGTTACAACCCTTCGGAAAGGGCACAACATTTCATAAAGGTCACAATTTTTCATAAAAGTCGCAACTCTTCATAAAAGTCACAACTCTTCATAAAATTCGCAACTTTTCATAAAAGTCACAACTTTTCATAAAAGTCACAACTTTTCATAAAAGTCACAACTTTTCATAAAAGTCGCAACTTTTCATGAAAGAGGAAGACTAGTTTTGTAAATAAATAAATTAAAAGAGAATTTTGGTCTGTGACGGCGCTACGTAGACGGGCCTAGGGTCCTCTTTTTATAAATTTAAAAAAATGAGGTAATTAATATACTCAATAGATTTAATTGGGGAAAAAATATGTGACATAGGCTCCATATAAAAAAAGAGAAATTAAGATGAAACAGATTTATTATTGCAGGGATAAATATCTTTTTTTTAACTAAAATATATTTTAAAAAGTATAGCTTATTTGTAATAAAAATAAATATCTCTTTTTTATTTAATGAAAACATAAAAGATCATAGTAACACTGTCCTCGAAAATAGATCTTACAATACACTATCTAAGTTAAAACAATTTCCTTAGACTGCATAATTTATACAAAAACTTTTATCCCAATATTCAACGAAAGTTACCATTACCAGTGACATGATAGTACGTCGCATCTTTTAGGGAAGGTTTTCTTGACATTCAGTATTAATTTGAGAGAGGGTTAACACCTCCTCTATCTATAGCCAAACACTCTCTTGAGGGCCTGAGGCAGTTTCAAAGGTTTGTTTTCCTTCCCTATCTCTTTATGACATACTAGATATGGGACCCCGTGCCAGCACGGGGCCCAATATATGTTACTATTTCTATTCTAATTTATGTGGTACATATGAAATTTGAAGTTAATCAATTTTTTAGTATGTTTTTATATATTTTAAGTTGCTAATTATTTTTATTTAGAGTATGTTTTACGTAAATATATTATAAATCACAATAATTAACAAGTTAATATAAAAAAAAACTTATAAAAAATTCATTGACTTTTGAAATTTCATTTGTATCACATAAATCAGGACAAAGCGAGTAATATATATGAAAATTACATAAAACGTACTATAACTCACAATAATTAGCAACTTAAAATATCTATATATCTATATTTCTCCCAATTTATGCGGTATAGATGAAATTTTGAAAGTTAACAAAAACTTTTTATATGTTTTGAAATATTTTAAGCTATTAATTATTATGATTTATAATACTTTTTACATAAAAAATTTATTTATATAATGTTAATTTCTATGTTTTAATTATTGTAATACCGATTGAATTTGAAGAGCCAACTAAATTTTTTAAAAGGATTTTTTTTATAAATTTTAAGTTGTTAATTATTATAATTTATAATATTTTTATTAATTTTAAACCAATATATGTTTTTCTCTGTCTCAATTACATGAGACATATGGAATTCGGAGAGTCAACTAAAATTTTAAAATATGTTAAGTTGTTAATTATTATACCTTATAGTACTATTACGTGATTTTCAAATAAAATATGTAATTTTTTTATTTCAATTTATATGTCATTGATATAATTACATATATTAAGTAATGAAGAATTAATGTGTAAATTATGTGACACCTATGAATTTTGGAGTGTAAATCAAATTAGTTATATGATTTAAAAAAAATAAAGCGGTTAATTATTACAATTTATAATACTTTTTATATATATTTTAAATGATATATATATATACCTTTATGATATTGGTATTAGTATTATAATAAATTAAATTTTATTATTTTAAATTTATGATCTCAATTGTCAGCCTATGCCACATTATAAAATGTTCCAAAGTAGATATTAGATTTACAAAAATGTCGATGCCAGCTAAAGTAATAAAATAACATCTAAGGGCATGAACCTATATATGTATATATAAAGCTGAATATTGACAATTTGATGTGGCATCTCTCTATGACCAGTATTTCTATTCATCTTTTTTTTCATTTTTTTGACATTTTATCTTTGTTTTGTATTTAAAAAAAAAGTATTTATGTCATACCCGATTAATTATGCCTTTTATAACATCCATTACACTAATATAGATTTAAGTAAATGAAAATGGAAGATGAAAAGATAAAAACTATTCATTTTTTATAACTGTTTATAATTATTTAGCCTATAAAAAAAAATAAAAAAATAGTTGAGCATTTGTAACAAATAAGAACAAATTTCTTCACTTTGGCTCTTCTTCTTCTGACGATAATGATTAATATATGGTATCAACTTCTGTCGCTAAGATGTCCATCAAATTTCTAGGTCATGTGACTTTTTTAACAAAAGAGAAAGAGAGAATATCTCATGATTCTTGTGAAGACATTGATGTAAAGAAAGAGATTATGTAACAAAAAATTATTTTCAAAATAAAAGACTTTTTGAAAAAATATTTATTCCTCCTACAAGGAGAGAAAATTCATTGTGGTTGAGAAATTTATAAGAAGGTTGATTAGTGTTTCAAAGGGTAAGAAAAATTATTTGGAGAAAAAATCATTCTATTTACGGAATTCGTATCAAATTAGGAGGAGAACAAGCAAAAATTTATTTTGTGATTTGAAAAGAGAGAAAATTAGATATTATTTCTTTCAACCTCATTATTCTTCTAATTTCTTTCTTCTTTTATTTTGTCTTGATTTTTTGTATCTTTAATTAAAGTTTTTTTTTTCTTATTTATCTTTAATTAAAGTTTATATATATTTTCTTAAAAAAGAATTTATAAAGATGATCATATTTAGTTCCTTTCCTCATCAATGCTATTAATCTCATAATTAGTGTTATTTATATTATTTTCTTAATTACTTTTTTTTCTTTCATTTAATTATTTATTTGAAGAAATTAGTTATTATAACTTTATAAGAATTACACATGTATTTTTACATAATTGATTTGTTATTTTTAAAATTTTTGGATCATTCTTCATCTTAAAGTTTCTATCTATATGTAATAATAAAGCTAAAATAGAAAATGTGGGGTGACACCTTCTTAGCAATAGATACTTATTTATTCTTATCAATGTTTCTGACATTTTTGTTATTTTTTCCTTAAAATAATTGTTGCCTTGATTTTTAGTTTTAGTTTTATTTTTTTAGCATTTTCTAATTTTAAAAGACTGAAAATTTTATATTGAAAATTTACAAAATATAAAAAATGATTTATTTAACTCCTATCATCATCAATATTATTATTAATTTGTTTTACTTCTTTTCTTAATCTTCATTTCATCTTTAATGTAATTTATATCATTTTCTTAGATATATATATATATATATATTTGTGACATTTCTTAGAAGTTAGGATTACTATTTATTTAATTTTAAAATTTTTTGAATTCTTTTGTCATACTAAATACAACATGTTTTATTATAATTACATTTAATATATTAATCAATATGTTGTACGAATGAAAAGAAAATTATCATTTCACAAAAACAAAGGTTAAAATATAATTTATTATGATTAAGGAAAGATAAAATTATTATTCCAATATCCATAACCATATATAATACATTAAAAATTAATTGAAAAGTTGTAAATGGAAAAGGAATCACCATTTAAGGAATCATTATTTTTAAATTTTTGGATCATTTCTTCTTCTAAAAGTTTCTATCTATACGTAACAATAACGTTAAAATAGAAAATGTAGTGACACCATTCTTACTAATAGATAGTTATTTATTTTTATCAATTTTTTTTGACAATTTTGGTTATATTTTTCTTTAAAATAATTATTGCCTTGATTTTTTTTTAACATTTATTTTTAATTTTAAAAGATTGGAAATTTTATGTTAAAAATTTTAATAATAGAAAAAATGATTTATTTAACTTTTATCATCATCAATACTACTAATTTTTTTGACGTTTTTTCTTAATCTTCATCTCATCATTAATGTAATTTATATAATTTTCTTAAATCACTTATTTTTTCTTTTTTAACTCTTTTATATATATAAAGTTGGATATTTAAATGATGATGTGACATTTCTTAGAAGCTAAGATTACTATTTATCTAATTTCTCCAATTTTTGAGTTCTTTTGTCATACTAAATACAATATGTTTTATTATAATTACATTCAATATAGTAAACAATATGTTCTATGAATTAAAACAAAATTATCATTTCAGAAAAAAAAATGTTAAATTATAATTTTATTATGATTAAGGAAAGATAAAGATATTATTTCAATATCCCATAACCACATTCAATACAATAGAAATTAATTGGATATAACTGTAAATGGAAAATGAATCACGATTTAAGGAAAATAAATGTTTGCAATACCATAATAATTAAGGAGAGAGTAAGATATTATTTTAATATCCTAATTCGGAACTTTTCATCTACTACTCAATTAAAAATAAAATGCATTTAATAACATTAAAAAGTTATTAGTTTAATATTTTTTCTCATTGTACTAATTCAATTCAATTCAATTCAATCAAACTTAATTTTAAAGATAAAATAACAACTTTATTTTAATTGTTATCAATATATTTCAAAAAATTATCGTGAAAAGGCTTTTCTTGCACCTTATTTTAATTTTCATATACTATTATTATTTTTTCTATCATTTTTTAATGATTTTTTATTTCGATTTAAAATTTAATGTTTATTCTTAAAACTCTGATGGTACAAATTAAGGTGGAGTAGAATATAATAAATGATGATTCTTCTACTAAATAAGAAGATATAACGAAATTGAAAGGGTGAAGGTTTTTTTTTTTAAATGGATAGGAAATTCTATTAAGGTATCATTACATCATTATTCAATATATTTTTAATATAAATTTCATTTGTTGATGCATTTGTTTAGTACTCCCTCTGTCTCTAATTACTTGTTCACTTTTCCTTTTATAGTTGTCTCTAATTACTTGTCCATTTTGACAAATCAAGAAAGAATATTTTTTTACCTATTATACCCTCAATTAAATGACTAATTACTTTGAAAATTGCAGAACTTTTCATCTACTTCATAATTAATAGGGGTAAAATGATAAACTCACTATGTCATTAATTGATTTCTTAATAAATGTGTCAATTTAAAAGTGGACAAGTAATTAGGGACAGAGGGAGTATTACAGTGTTATTTGACATTATGAGATATTTCTTAGACATTTAAGGAGAATGGTAGACCGAAATATATATTATATATTAAAGGATCAACTTCATACAATGGAAGAATTTGTTATTAGCAAATATATTTTAACTTATTTGCTAAAAAATATATTCTTCCTCATTTAATAGATGTAAAATTTGTGAAGCTTTATTTATTTTCACAATCTTCATATTATTAAAACAAATAATAATATTACGATTAAACAACAGAGTAAATATAAAATTAATCAAAAATATTTAATTTAAATGATCGCGCGAAGTGCGGCCAAGTTCTCTAATTTAAAACAAAAAAGTAAAATTTAAATGGGTCTACTATAGAATTCCTAGAAATCCAACTTGAAAAATTATGTTAAAAATGGAAAATAAAAAGTGAAATAAATTTAATTGAGAGTTATCCTTCGTCTGTCCCATTTTATGTGAGACTTTTTATTTCTTGAGAATCAAATAGTTTAAGTTTGACCATAAATTTGCGTATGATATCTTCAATTTTTTAATTTTTTTTGGAGAAATTAGATAAATAGTAATCTTAGCTTCTAAGAAATGTCACATCATCATTTACATATCCAACTTTTATATATATAAAAGAGTTAAAAAAGAAAAAATAAGTGATTTAAGAAAATTATATAAATAACATTAATGATGAGATGAAGATTAAGAAAAAACGTCAAATAAATTAGTAGTATTGATGATGATAAAAGTTAAATAAATCATTTTTTCTATTATTTAAATTTTTAACATAAAATTTCCAATTTTTAAAAATTAAAAATAAATGTTAAAAATAAAAATAAAAATGGAGGCAATAATTATTTTATTAAAGAAAAATATGTGTAGAAAAAGTAGAAGTAGATGAAGTTACTTTAGTTCATCTTTTTGGTGGGCCTTAATGTACAATTTCTATAGCTTTTAGTCCAACTCTTTAGTGCAATGTTGGTCCTCCAAACTCCCATTTCTAAATAAGAGTAATATACTGATTATCAATTACTTTCTGATTTTTCTTTTCCATCTGTATTTGATAATAATATGTTCAATTAAATTTTAAATCGAGCGAAAAAGTTTCTTATTAACGGTAGATCGCTTTCTTAAAAAAAGCAACTTCCTATTGCTCATTAATCTTTGTGAAAGTTTTAAATGTTGCCTTTCTTATTATTCTATTTTTTAAAAAGAAAAATCATGAAATTATTCCTCGAAAACCGTCAGTATAAGAGTACAAAATATATATATAAGCCTTAAGTTATTTATTTTATTTTTTTTCTTAACCCTCCTTACCCTAGGAGCTTTCACCCCTTTTGCTCCCTTGGTGACTCGAACTCGCAACCTTCAGATTGAAAGTGAGGGGTGCTTATTGCTTACCATGGTGTTATGATAATTTTTAACTCCCGACTAAAATTATCTAAGCAAATCACTTCGATTAAAATTTTTAACAGAAGCTTACCATTCATGTTTTTGATAATTCTTTATTAGATGCAACTAGTAATTGTAACCGGAAATGTGTGAATAATATTAAATATTATTTCTAATCGTTTTAGATTAAGATATCTTATTCGAGTAATAACTAAGATCATATTATCTCATCTGTGGATAATATTTTTTCTAATTATTTTAAATTGTGATATTTTGTTCGGAGATATTTTAAATTATATTATGTTACAAAAGTCCAACTATCGTATTGTTCCTCATTAAAATGTACTCCCATTCCCAATCAATTTTATATGAAGAAAGAGAACGAATCATGTGATTATCAAATATTTGTATAATTTCATATTTTTAATTATTATATTGCTAACTATTAATAGATGAGGGGTTTATTTGGATTTATGAGTGATAAAATTAAATCCTACTATCCAACCTGTCCAATTTGCTTAAGTTTGGATGAGTTATTGTCCCACTTATTCATTTGTTCAATTCATTTGAGTACATTAAAAATTAAATTGATATGTAATTTAGATTGACTTATGAGAGATCTTGTTAAAATATTTTAAAAAAAAAACTTATTTATTTAATTTGATATGTTATATATAGTCATAATAAAAAAAACAAAAATTTATTAGGTATTAAATAATTTAAAATATAAATAAAATAATGAATACTTAGTAAAATTGGTTTGATCTTGATCCATTTATGATCCATTACTTGATTAGTTTTACCCCAATTAGATTTGAATTGGATTGAATCTTAATCCGTTTATTGTCTTATGAATTATCAAAGCAAACGATCCATAAGTATTTGTAAGAGGAAGAATATTCCATCACATGTTTTGTGCTATTTTTACGTTTAGCAGTAATAGTGAAGGGAAAGCAAAATATCAAAGGGGCAAAGAGGACTTTTGACGCAACTCTCAGGCGAAGTTTATCTCCCAATTAGTCTCCGACAACCTAAGACGACGTGACGATGATTTAGCTGGAGCTCTCCTTCTTCCGGGTTAGGTATCGAAACTTGTGGAATTTCCGATCTCATCGGAAAAGAAAGTAAAATGGCGTCACCGGACATTGCTGAAATGTTGGAAAAATCGAAGGAGCTTGATCGTTTAAGGAAAGAGCAAGAGGAAGTACTCCTTGAAATCAATAAGATGCACAAAAAGCTTCAAAACAGTTAGTATTTCAACTCTAAATTATTAATTTTTACTCGTTTGATCACAATTTATATTTGTGGCTGGCTAAATTAGAGTTAGTGAAGAAAGTGGTTAGAAGTTGAATGCACTAAAAATAAATATTTATGCAATCAGGTCAGGCTAATTCTATGAGAAACAGTAATTAATGACCTGCTAAAATCCTTTGTATTTACCCTACTTTGTGAATTTTGATGTGTATTGGTAGGTTTTTAGGTCACGGGTTCAAATTGTGGAAGCAACTACTAATGCTTGCATTTGGGTAGCCTGTGTACAACACATTATGGTAGAGCGAGAGGTTTTAGGTTCTAATGCCACTGGTTTATGGGGTTATCCAACTGATTTTTGCTTCTATATGATTAGTTACTAAGTAATGTAGTCATTTGTGAATCCCCTTTAAACAGTTTTTTTGTATTAGGAATCTACATAATTCATTTGAATTTTACATCTTCTCTCTGATAAGTTGAAGTTCCTCCCTTGTTCGAAGTTGGTGTGAATTTGACAGATTCTAACGCTTTTCATGATTGAATCCAAAGAATTGGAAAGTTCTTATAAATTCGGATTTGTGTGATCTCCCAAAATTCAAAAAACAGGTAATAAAATATTAAAATTAAGCACTACTTTTATTGGCGAAGATCATTGACCTGTTTGAAGTAGAAAACTTGCATGTGACATGTATCTACCTAGACTTATAGTGTAAGTATTATGGCACTTAACAGTTGGGCACTTTCCCATTCCTTCTGCAGCTCCAGAAGCCGTTGAGAAACCAGGTGACAATTCCCTGTCAAAACTTAAGATGTTATACACTCAAGCCAAAGAGCTTTCCGAGAGTGAGATGAGGTACTTATCTTTGCACTGTTTCCTTGCTTGGAGGATGGTTAAGGGTGGGTGTGGTGATTTTTGACTCACAGCTTTCTATGTTTTCCAAATGGAGCTACGTCGTGTTAGTTTTATGCAACTCTTTATTTGACAATTTAGACTTGGAAACTCTAAAATGTTTGTTCTTACAAGTCATGTGTCATAGTGATACTTGTTGTATTTTCATTTTCAATGAAATTAATTTATTTCTCCTTCCTTGCCCTTTGGTTGTAGTATCTCCAACCACTTGTTGGGCCAGCTGGATGCAATGATTCCTGCTGGAGGTGCTGGCCAACAACGAAGAAGGATAGGTGTGTGTACAATTGATTAACTTAACAATCATTAATTTTCTAGTTTTATGCTCTTTAAAGTTTAAATTTATACCTGGCTTACAATATAGTATTTGGCTTGCAATATATTATTTGAAATCTGGAGGTTGGTTATTGATTCTTACCTCACCCGTGTATACTTTTAAGTTGTATATGTGTCTGTTTCCTCTAAAGAACTTGAATAGTAGTTATACGTTAACTTGAGTACCCTTAACTTGAGGTCTCAATTCTCATAGAATCGAGCTTAGAAAGGACTACAGAGGCAGAATAGTTTGGGATATTGGAGAAAATACAAAAAAATTATCTTGGCTGCTAATTTGATGACAGAGCCTTTTGCCTTCTTTTCCTTTTAAGGCAAAAATTGGTTCCAAAACTCAGGGAAAGGGTAAAGGAAAATGTCGAAAAGTAAAATTATCTTTGAGGCTAATGCATCAAATATCTATTTTATGAAATTAAACAAAAAGAGACTTATGCTATTTGCTTAAACTATTACTAATAGACTCAACTATATTTTTGATCTTCAATTTTAATTGCTTCACCTTGGTTAATGCATTTGGACTTGCATGGATGACAGAAGGCAACGAGCAGAAAAAGAAGAGGATGAAAGGTGATCCTGACATTCCTAGGCTCTCTCCTTCCATGCGAAATCAGCAGGAGTTCTTTGCTAGCTTGAAGGGGGAACAAGTATGGATTGATTTCATGAAAGTAAATTATTCCTTTTCAATTGTCATAATATCATTCAACAAAAGTAAATAACTTTTTACGATTAGGTGGCTGCTAGAGTTGCGCAAGAAGATGGTGAAAAGGATGAGTGGGTTATTGTCAAAGTTACTCATTATGACAAAGAATCAAAGGAGTAAGTTCTGTGACATAGCTTCAAGTTAAAAATTTGATCTAGACTGAATTCATTTACATATATTTTTGTATTAACATTGCATTTCCCTGTGCAGATTTGAAGTTTTAGATGAGGAGCCGGGCGATGATGAGGAAGGTGGTGGCCAGAGGTAGCCTACAATTGATCTTTGGACATTTGTTGATTGTTTTTGCCTATTTATATTTTGCTTGTGTACTTCCCTTTTGATTGTTTGTGCATTTTATCTAGGGGGTGTGGGGATGGGAGAGAGAGTGATGAAGCGACTTCAGGAACTTCCTTGGATCTAAGTGACAACAATTTTACTTAAGCATCTTTTGTCCAAGTGTTATTTGCTTTCCATAACTAAGAAGCTGCGCAAGAATTACAGAGACTAGGGAATATAAGGTAAAAGAATGAGGGACACGTAACAAATCAATTTTCCCGCTTCTTCTAGGACCTCACTAAAACTCTATTGTAGTTTCCCATGAGACTAACAAATCATATACATCAATTGGAGAAAACTAGAAAATCAAAAAGGTAATATCTTGTCTGATGATGTGACCTCCTTACACAAAAAAACTTGCCTCACTGTTTGAGCTTCTAGCTTTGAACAACTAATTGAGGAACTTTGGTGACTTATATTTCCCTCTTTTAGTACTTTGAATTGCGTCCTTTTTTGCGACTTGTTGGTGATTGTTGTTGGCTGGTATCCTCAAGTAAGTAGTCCATAAGTTACTCTCAGCTGTCTTGCAAGTTGCTGTACAATAATCTGTTCTCAGCACCTTCTTGTGGATATTTGTGATTAAGATTCTGCGACATCTCATTTCCTCTAAGCTTAATATTGCTACTGAAGAATTTGATGACTGATAACCGATTACATGTGATTTTTCACTCTTTGTACTTTGAGAGGCTGCTTGTTCATTGATATCTACGTTGCGTTTTTTCAGCTACGGATTTGCTTACTAAATGATTATTCGCCTTCTTACTTGACTTACTGGTTCTATTCTTTTGCCAATTACAGAAAGTACAAGCTACCCTGGTCACATATTATACCTTTTCCCAAGATGAGTGATCTTGCAACCGCTCCAGAATTCCCTCCTGGAAAACAAGTTTTGGCAGTTTACCCAGGAACCACAGCCCTGTACAAAGCCACAGTAGTCCAGGCCCGCAAGGTATCAGTATCTAGTTTCCTTTTGTCGTAGTTTGTCCTGATTTTCTTTAATGAGCTATTTAAAATATCATAAGTATTGAGGAACTGATTGGTTTTTGACTTACATTTGCATGTGATGGTCCAAATGGTATATCGAATTCCAGAGGAAGAGCGACGAGTAAGTGATTTTTCCTTTTCATTCCCTTACCGGGCCTCTTAGATCAGCGATGAGCTTAAGATTCTATAGTACTCAGTAATTGAGCAATGACTTCTGATTGAAGGGAAAACTGGGATCAATTATTATAATCTGTTGCTCATCTAGCTCAATATTTCTTTTTTCTTTTTCTTGAAATTGACTGTTAATTTCCAAATTTTTGACCAACGAATCATTGATTATTTTTCACGGATTTAATGCATTTTGTTTCCCCTTTTGCAGTTACACATTGGAGTTTGATGACGATGAGGAGGATGGGTCTTTACCTCAACGCATGGTGCCCTGTAACCAGGTTGTTGCTCTTCCAGATGGACATCGCCAGTGAAATATAGTTACTCTTTACACGTCCAGAGCTACTAAATTTGGACAATCTGCTGTATGTATCTAGTAGTCTTATAAGGGTGAGCTGTGAACCTATTCACATTTAGTTTGTAGCATTGCTATTTATCCAGAAAAAGAAAATATTATCTTTGTCGTACAATGTATTTATAAAAAAAAATCTTTGCTGTACGATTTGTCTAGTGTTCTTGGTGTACAGTAGTTGGACATGAAAATAAATTCTAGTATTTTGAGTTGTAAATTTGTACTGTGTTTATTAAGGTCTCTGAGTTTATCTGGAATCTCTCTCCCTTCGACTTTATACTACAAACTTGCGAGTTTCTTTTTTATATCAAGTGTGGATAATTTGAAAAGTAAAGGAAAAGATGAAGATTTTACTTGACATAGATATGAAAATCGCTAGTTAAGATGCACATTTATAATACAAGATTCCTAATAGTGAAGATGTTTATGACAAGCATGTGTAATGGGAATGGGAGGATCAGAGAAACTGCCGTTTAGTATATGATCGGCAATCCATTGATTAGCAGCTTGTGAGTAATGTATTCCATCCCAGCTTATGTAATCTGAAGGGTTGACACAAGCTCCTCCAAAAACTTCTGCACCTCTCACTATTCCTTTCTGCCCACACCATACATGCGTGTTCCCCTCCTGTAACCCACAACATATTTTCTGGGGTTCCATGAAATCTGTTCAAAATTTTAAAGTTCGTAGAGTTAGATGATTTCTTTCATCTGTCAATGCCTTGGCACGAAACAACAAGTGTATGGTAAAATTATTGGTATGTGTTTGTGTACTAACGTATACCTTGGCTCTTGGCATTGCTGATCAATTCATACTTGGCAGCATAGACATCTACATATGTTATAGCAGCATGCCCAAGCTCTGCTCTCAATGTTCTTATCCTGGCTTTCAGCTGTCTATTGAACTCTAAGGCCATTTTATTATGGCTCTTTAAGCATCCATAGTTATCAAGAACACCTGGTTTTGGATTTCTGAGGTATAATGTGGCTATTGGTAAGCAACCGATTGGACCCGTGTTGTGTATCCAAAATGCCCTCGCTCCTTGTTGATATAGACGCTGTCAAACAAAATTACAATTACACTTATTAAACTCATGATAAAATTGTTGAAAGCTGTGTATACTACCGTTACTGCTGCAGAAAACTGGTTTATTATGTCTGGTATGGCAGTCCGAAGTTGTATATTACTCATCTGGTGGAAGCCAACAGCTAAATCAGTTTGGCCTATGTCAATTGTGTAGAGAGATTTTGAAAATTCCCGAGGTCTTGGGAGTTTGTACTTCTCTGAGACATAGTGTCAAATCAGCTTAAAACGATAGAAATTGGAACATCAAAATGATATAGGGCTGTGCTAGTTATGTTTACCCTGTCTATAGAGCTCTTCAGTTCTGGATTGGAAACGATGAAAATGCACAATTTGAACGTCCAGGGAAAAGGGGCTTATACCACTTTGGAATATAGTCTCGTTCTGTCTCCTAATGGTGGATCCTCCTGTTGCAAAATTAGCTCCGTGCCTGAAATTCGAGCCAATGGAATCTAGATAGGCACTCAAGTAAGGTAATCTCATGAGCTCAGCTGCAGAAAAGAGTTAACATCCACAATCAATTGATTTCATAATGAATAATGATATTGATTTGGATGGATGTTATGTTACCGATGAAGTCAATGAGAAGTCTACCATCTGAAAACCGTCCGCGGAAGAAGCTCTCACCATAAGGTGCTTGTATTGGTTCAAATGCAGCAGAGATACCTCCGGTGTCCGAATTTGAGTCCCCGAAATTGTAAACTGCCGGAAAATCGCTGGGTGCTATTGCAATACTAGTGATCTTCTTCAAGGGGGCCAGCAGTAGTACTAGTGATAACATTACTGTTACACATTCCATTATTGCTCAATGGACACTGAAATTGAAAATGTTATATTTTTTAAGTAAGCAGTGGCATTTATCTCGTTACTTGTCATTTGCCTTTTCTGTTGTAACTTATTCAAATTAGAAAATGCCGTGATGAAATGCTTTTCCAAGTAAAAACAACCGGACCATTAGGCTAAAGCCATAACTGTTTGGATTGAATTGACTTCGCTTAGTTTTTTGTGGTTGTAACTTATAAGCCAAAATAGCTTTTAGCCACTTTTGTAATGTTGCGGTATGATATTTTTATAGTATTTGGATAAGGTTAAAAAAATATTTATATCACTTCTTTTTAAGCGGGTAAATAAATGCTTATAGCACTTCTTTTTAAGCGAAAATAACAATAATTAGTCAAAATCATAAGTTATGAAATCAAATTATAACTTATGCTTGTAAGTTCTCAATCCATTATTGTGTTTCCTTTTTTGAGGGGCTCTTCAATAGATCAAAAACCAAGATCATGTCCTAATGTGAAATGTCTACACGCTAGTTCTGAATGACTATTTAGTAGCACATGATTAAGCTCTAGCATTGAACTAGAGGTTGATTAGGGCAGGTTGGTGCTAGATTTGAGGCTTACTATTGATCTATGCGTGGACCATTAGGAGGGTGTTTTGTTGTAAAGTCATTTGTTTCACGGAAGAGATCCCGCGAGTTATCCAGTTTAGAGTGCCTGTAGTTATATCGAGGCAATATCAATCTAAGTTATGTTGAAAATTTTGATTGCCGAGTCTTCTCTAATTTTAATTCAATCACAAATTATAGTCTGGTTTGTTCATTTGCCAAGCATAGATTTCTAAGTTGGTCCGATTTGATCAAATTATCGCGATTCAATTCTAAATAAAATTATATACCAACCAAATATCATATCATATTGCTATAAGCGGGAACAAAAAATGTTAAAAGTTAAATTACAGTTTTACCCCTATTAATATAAATTAAAATGTTATAAAACATTTAACTATTTAATTAAAATATTAAATTTTCATTTTAATTAACATGTTAATGACTTCTGCACTTTCTTAGATTAATCTCTAATTAAAATATCTAATTTTATAATATTTATTATCTCTAGACTCTATATATAATAATAAATTAATAATAATTTTAAAAAATCCAAAAATCTCTATATAAATTAGTCAACTTTTCTTCTCATAACTTTTTCCGTCCGTAAATAATATAAGTTACGTGGATAAAGTATTATCCTTTAAGATAAATGGAGAAATTTAATAATTTAAAAGGGTGCAAATCTGCAAAATGGAGAGATACACACTATTTGCTTTAGATATTCATATTCATAAATCATAACTCATATCTAATTACCTATTCAATTTTTATACTTTTGATATCCATAACTCTCATCTTTTCATATTCATAACCTCTAAATATTTAATCTAGAACTTTAAAATATCTTTTGGTATAACTCATATGTTTCCATAACATTTTAGATCATTCTCACATATCTAGTTATCTATAAAAATATATTGGTAATATTACATCTTCAACCAACTGACAGTGCCCTTGAATCACTATAACAAGAAGTAGAAAACTCACTTATTGAAAATTTTATAATATAAAAAAAAAGCACTAAGAGAAATGAAAAGGGAAGCAAATCTTAGAGAAGAATCCTTCTCCCTGGAAAGATGGAAGCTTAACCATGGCGGCCTGAAACGCCTTTTTTTTAAAAATCTTTGTGTGACACTGAGACTCCTTATTTTAGTTAATTATAGATATAATTTGGCATAGGTATAAACTTATATAAAGTTGAATGAGTACCCAAAAATTAAGTTGCAAAACCCTTTTCTTCTTCCCTGAACCCTTAACTATATAGAGCGTTATTTTGAAGAAGAAAAAGATGTGCATGTGCAGTGCAGAGAGGAGAAGATAAAGAGAATCTCCAATAGATTCGATAGTAATAAAGATGGGCATCTCTGCCTGAGGCGTGGATGATGGCTGTAGAACCCGAATTGAATAACAACCTTTTAAATTACATCCTCACTGCCTCTGGTACCCGAGGCCTAAGCTATAATGAATTCACCCTAATTTATCATCACCACAAAGAACGTCACCATATTCCGCCCACATATTTACGCATCGATCTTTGAAGGTATATATAATTCTTCAATTATTACTAGCTGAATTTGTAGTTTTTGGAATTCCAACTCTTTAGTTAATCGGAGATCATTCTCCTTGTAGATAAACTTCCAAAATCACATTTGTAGATAAACTTACAAAATTTGATCCAATCTATAGCTAGCTTGCTTGCATTTTGAATAATTGCTGGGATAAATAGTTTTGCTATGCTGACAATATTGCACAAAGCTTACACTTATACTCCCTCCGCTCCGCTCCTTTTCAATTTATGTGAATTAGCTTATATCTAGTCGCCCCATCAAAGAGGAGAGGACAAAGAAAATCTTTGACAAGTTCGACGCTAACAAAGATGGCCATCTCAACATGATGGAGCTGGTGGAATGGATCATGGCTGTGGAACCTAAATTGAATTACGAGATTCGGAAGTATCTGACCATGCTTTCAGACTACCTCTACAGTAGTTACTCACTCCTCTACCCTATAGCTACTAGTTGGTTATAAAGACCTATGCTATACTGGCTTCAGCGAAATTTATCAGCACACCTCAACACCCTCCAATTCCAGCAAGAAAAGACTAATGCAATTCAGCAGGTATATATAATTCCTTGAGTCTCAAGCCTTTAATCACAACAAATTAATATTCACTTACTTTATATATATTTGTGGTAGTGTTCAAAGAGGGTCGGTTTATCACCCACAAAGACAATAGAGAAGAAGAAAACGACACATCAAGTTCAGGCAAGTATTTCAGACAACTCCAATCTTAAATAATCTTTCACCTTCACTTGAATTGTATTTGTTGCATGTTTGTTAAAAAATGTCATCTTCCTATAGGGAGGAACGATCAACATTGCTGGGGAGGTGAATAATTACAGAAACACAGTGCAACAATTGGTACAAATACCTCAACTGCCTTTAATACTATTTGACAACATTTTGATAATGTTGATCTAGACATAAATGACAAGGCCAAACTCTTATTGTAAATGATCTTTAATCTTCACTCTACGAGGCCAAATTGACTATAGATGAGATTTTATATGGAAGGTAGACTTAACTGTTATAGTAAATAAAATTCATTAACCATATGTGAAGTTGACTGTAACGATGGTGTACAACACAGTGAATTCACTTAGCTGCATCCAAGAAAAAGTTAGTGGAGAGGATAAAGCTGAATTTAATTACTGGTTATACATAATCTTTTGGTACTAACGTTGGATTCTGAATTCGTAGTTTACTTAAATTTAACTTTACTCTATTTTTATTAAGCTGAGACTTTTAAGTTATTTATAATATTCTTAGCGTCTTTCTTCACAACTATCAGAACGCTGTAGAAGGTGTTAAGTCAAAAGGAGAGTATAAAGGGCCTGATCCTCAACTGGCCGATAAACTCTTGAAAAGGAAATCTTGGATACTAATCCAGGGGTGGGATGGGATGGGATGGGATGATGTTGCAGGACTAAATGAGGCAAAGAAGCTTTTACAGGAAGCAGTGGTACTCCCACTGTGGATGCCTAAATATTTCCAGGTACTGCTGATAGTTGATTCTGAATATAAGCATACTACAAAGTACAAAATGATGAGTGTGTGTTTGGTAAAACGGAAGTTATATTTTAGGAAAATATCTTTCATTAGTTTCTGGTGTTCGGGGGTGGGGAGTGATGTTGCTCGAAATAACATTTATACTTTATTATTTAATCTTTTACTAATTACAATTTTTCATCAAAATACTTCTGAATTCGCTAGTATTATTATTTTTCCTATTACTATTTTTCGTATATATTTTAGAGAAAATCAAATGAAACACTGAAAACATTTTCTAAGAATCTGTTTTCCTGAAAAAATGTTTTCGCCAGAGCTAGAGGAAAATGACTTCCGCCATACCAACCACAACTGTTCATCAGAGGTGGATATGCTCCTCAGCACTTAATTAAGAAAATAAGTTGGTAATAGTTTTTTTCTATTGAACCTGAATAGGCTCATATATTTGTCGTCACATAACGAGGGTACAATTTGATCGAATAGGAAGTTGCAATTTCTTGCTGATTTATAAGTTTTTGAGTTGCAGCTATGCACATATTGTAACTACTAACTACATGGCACATTAATAAAAGAGTAACGAATACTTATTATGAAACTTCTATAAAGTTCACATATTCGATGTTACTTGCAGGGAATCAGGAGACCTTGGAAAGGAGTTCTTATGTTTGGTCCTCCTGGCACAGGAAAAACTCTCTTGGCCAAAGCAGTTGCTACAGAGTGTGGGACAACATTTCTGAGTGTTACTTGTTCTTCGTTGTGTGCAAAATGGTACGGTGAGAGTGAACGATTGGTACGGTGCTTGTTTGACCTTGCCCGTGCTCAGGCTCCAAGTACAGTTTTCATTGATGAAATTGATTCTCTCTGCAATGCCAGAGGGTAAGTAATCTGTTTTTTTTCTAAAGTGATTACATCTACACTTGACAACTGAGGATATTTCTCATTGTCTTCCTGTTGTGTAAGGTTTGTTTTCATCACTATAGGTGCTAAAGCTTCTAGGCCTAGATATATGTTACGGGTCTACACGTCCTAGTAACTAAACTTCAATCATCTATTAGAACTTGATTGGAGATGAACCGTATATTAATTTCATGACGTTCTTGCCTTTTACAGAGTAAATAAGTGATGTGTCTCTACTAGTTCAAAGCTTTACATAGGAGCTTCAGAGAACAGAGAAGGTTAAAAATTAATTTGAAACCTTAGAAGAATACCTAGTAGGAAGAAAATTAGAGACTGTATGTTTTATCAAAACTGAATCATATATACTTTAGTTTCATTTGAGTCTGCACTGATGAGCTGATAATGACATCCATACATACTGGCATGTATATGTTTTTGGACTTCCAATTAACGCGTCTGAGCAGTGCGATTGGAGGTCGCAGTGACTTTAAACTGATATTTGTTACATATTAGTTATTATCTTATCAGGTCACATATTAATGTTTTATCAACTCTGAACCTTCTTCTTAGGACTTCTGGAGAGCATGACGTGTCCCGAAGAGTGAAGTCTGAACTTCTAGTTCAGATCGATGGGTTAAACAACTCCACTGCAGGCAAATCTGTGACAGTTTTGCAGGCAGCGACAAATTTCCCCTGGGATCTTGATGAGGCACTAAGGTTAAGTTTCCTAGTCAATATTAGCTTTCTTTTGTTTCCCTCTGATTTGTGTTGTGTTTCATCTCTGGATCTTGGCTAATTGGTGATTCACTGTACTACTGTAGGAGGCGGCAAGGCTAGAAAAGAGGATTTACATCCCGCTTCCTGATTTTAAGAGCCGAAAGGAGCTTATAAGGATAAACTTAAAGTGGAGACGATCTAACAAATATCTGCAGAGATGCTTCTTTAAATGGCATGAGATGTAGGGAAAAATCCAGATGAGATTAAGAACATGTCCGAGGCTGAGATTTTGGAAATTCCAGTTACGTTGGATGACTTTGTAGAAGCTTTAAAGAAGATACAACCCACAGTTTCTGCAGGGGACATCAGAAATGGTTTTCAGAATTTGGATCAACATAGAAAATCAGCACAACGCTTAAAAATTGCTAATGTAGGTTAACTAGTTTTTTTGTTTTTTGGTCTGATACTATGTTTGACAATGGTCAGATGCCAGTATATATGCACCATATCATCTGTTCTATTCTATCTTTATATGGTTTTTTTCCGCTGAAGTGTTTTACGTTATTCCAGCAACTCAGTATGTAATTTTGGTGGGCTAATTTCGTCCCCCTAATGTGGCATGATATGGTTTCACGTGATTTTTAGCATGTTTGACCAAGTTTGTTTTTTTCTTAAAAGTGTTATATTTTTTTTCTCTTTCTAAAAAGTGCATATTTTTAAAATGCAAGGTGTTTGACCAATATTTTGGGAGAGCAGAAAAAGTTGTTTTTCAGAAGCTAAAAAAGTTTTTTTTCCTACAAGAACCTTTTTGAAAAATACACTTAAACCACTTTTAAAAAGTTTGATCAAACACTAATTATTATGTAAAAGACAAACTGTTTTTCACCAAAAATACTTTTCAAAATAAGCTAATTTTAAATGTTTGATGAAACAAGCTAGAATCGTCAATAAAACTTTCAAGAGAAGTGTTCATGGCAAAGCTTTTTCACGGATTCAACATCCGCTAGCTTCTATCTTGATCATTTAGTATATGATTGTATTTGACTAGATATGAAATTAATAAACAATGATTTTGTTTTTATACACAAGCTAAATATACATAACATGTTAAAAATAAGCTTAGAGCGTTGTGGAGTTAAACATGTCATATTATTATCATATAAACATATGGTCAAAATTGGGTTGAGCAAACATAGCTGATTGTCACGTCAATAATAGAGTCAAACAACTAAGTTGGTATAGAAGAATTGATGTGCCGCTAAAAATCTTTTCTATACAAGTTTTCGGATGAAGTGCTTGGATAGAACTTCGACAATCGAGTAGTGTAAGCACCGCGAGATGCGAAATAATTCATTTGACTTTTCATAACAAGAATAAAAGAAAGTTAATCTAATTTTGAAATTATGGCAAGTCTCACTATCTCTTTAATGTCACTGCTTATTTACTCATTTGCAGTTACTACTACAAAAAAGACTATCCTATCTTTAAAGGAGCATCATATGTTCACTTTGTTTTGTTGAAATATGTTGAGAAAAAAGAAAAGTGTATCTTATAAAATGGAATGACGGATATATAAAAGCTTTTGTTGCCGAAAGAAAAGAAAGAAACTGTCATCTCCTTATTTTTCTATGCAAAAACAAAAAAATATGGAAGTGTTATAAATAATGAAATGTGGATGTCACGTACCAAATTCACACTTTATGACTTTAGAGATTCTTCATGACTTTGAAGGATTAGAGATATACTCTTATTTTCTATATATACTCATTTTATATGTAGACATAAATGCATTGACATATTGGAAGGAAAACATTACTACTCTTTCTCTCCATTTCTTTGTTACTTCCTCAGTCTCAATTTATGTGACTTACTTTCCTTTTTAGTCAATTCCAAAAAGAATGACACATTTCTATATTAAGTAACAATTTAACTATAAAATGTCTATTTTACCCTTAATGAAATGATTTACAGTCACACAAATTTCTATAATTTATTTTGGAACACAAATTTTAAAAGTTTTCATTTCTTTTTTAAATTTCGTACTGAGTCAAACTACCTCACATAAAATGAGACGGATGGAGTATTTAATTTCTAATACTTTATTTTATAACAGAAAGAACTAAAACAAATTTTGGAAAAGCAAAGGGACTATATTTCCTATTTCTTATTCTAGTGGGGGTTCAAAAAGAATTTGGGTATAGTTAAACCGTCTGCTTTGCCCTAACGGAAACTCAACTCTGCGAGCTTCCGCTAAGAAAGCTATGGGGAAGAAAGCAAGTGGAGTAGGAGAAGAAGGAGATGGATCCACTGGAAAAGAAGGTTACAAGCTTCTGGGCAATCCGACTTTCAAAAAATTGGAGAATGGCCGCTTCAAATGCGTTCAAACAGGGCATGAGCTGCCGGAACACGCTAGGGACTCTTATGCCCACAGCAAGCACTGCCGCTTGGGTCTAATTGATGCTGCTCTTTCTAAGAATAAACCTCCTCTCAATATGTTTAACCAAGATCCTCTCAATCGGTAATTGTCCTTAATTCTTCTACTAGGGTTTTATATGCAAACGCTAATTCACTGCTAGAGTCAATGTATTCTTTTCAAGTAGTAATGTAGTAGGGAATATATCCAGGGAAAAAAATAGTTAATTTGGAACTATTGAGTAAGATTGCACTAGAAACAGCCATACTTTGTTGTTCTCTTTCAACCTTTGGCATTAGAACAGTATACGTATTGCACTCGGGGGAAGAGTTTATAAATATAAAGTAACACAGTAGGAGTTTAGTGCACCGGGCTACCCCTTTTATTTCCTTTTGCCTGAAAAATCCACAGGCTCATCATTCTAATTATTATAATGGGATATACACCTTGAACATTGGAAATTCAATTTAAAGCATATATACAGCTTAAGACCTTAGTAAGACATGTTCGTTTGAATTGTGAAAATTTGTAGCAATCTGTTGGAATACTTTTGATGTACAACACAGAAATTGATCATTTGTTGCATGCTAGGAGCAAAATTTGTTGGAAATTATGGAGGAAAATTTGATATATGCGTACTTTCCTATTGTTCTTCTGCTAATTTAATCTCTAGTGTAATTTGGTATGCAACTCGTGCAGGTCAAAGTTGATATGTAAATTAACAGGAGATACAGTTAATAAGTCGGAGGAGCACATATGGAAACACATGAGTGGAAAACGGTTTCTCAGAATGTTAGGTTTGTTATGAGCCCTCAGTTACTTGTTTATTGGAAGGTTTGTGTATGTATATTATGTTCTTGTGCATTCTACTGAGTACCACTTATGATACATGCACTACTTTGAACAGAGAAAAAGGAAACTGAAACTGAAATGGAAAATGGAGGGCTAGAAAAGCAAGTAGAAAATGAAGTGGCTAAGAAGACGGATAGCAAAGCTAATCGTCGGGACAAAAAGAAAAACAAAAAGAAAGAAATAGAAGATGCTAGCAAGGTTATATCCGAAATAAGGGATTCTTCTGGAAAGAACAGTGGCTCAGAAGATGATGATGAGTTTTGGATGCCTCCAGTTGGTGCTCGCTGGGACAATGATGATGGAGGTGATCGATGGGGATCTGGTTCGGAATCAGAAGAAGAAGAAGAAGATGCTATTGGGCAAGGTATGCGTTATTAGTAATCGTAAACTTTAAGGGTGGAAATTGCCAAAAATCCCACGTATATCTTTGTATGTTAGATAACAACAACAACAACATACCCAGTGGCGAATTTAGAGGCAAAAAATAGGGCAGCGGAACCCGTGGTCTCTTCGTAAAATTAGATATTTTATGTATATATTTTCTAACATTTGTATAATATTATATTCTGGCACCCGTACTATAAAAAGTCTAGTTGGTCCACATGGTTAAATGTTGAGCTTTTGACCTTGAGGACTGCGGATCAATTCCCACTTAATACATTTTTCTTGGTGCATCCATATTCGAAAAATCCTAGAATCGCCTTTGTTACATGCCTAGTATAATCCCACAAGTGGGGTTTGGAGAGGGTGGTGCATACGCAGTCTTGTCCCTACCTTAGGCTGTATGTAAGATAGATACATAAATGCCTACACTGCATGCAAATTTGGCGATGGTAGGGCAGAAGCTTACCACTGTTCTTGCACAATCAAACCTGTGAATTGAATGTGCTATCTGTCTCTGCTTTTTCTGTGCTAAATATATTTGTTTCATACTTCATGGCTAGTGAATTGCAATGCATGCTCCTTGAATATTATAAACATAAATCTGATGGAGCTCAACATTAGCTCTTTTATCTACTTTCAAAGGTGTTTGATAAATATTTGCCTTCCAATGTGAGAAAAGTCATTCCTTTTTCTCCTTCTCATAAATATATTTCATGAAGAAGTCATCCTGTTTTCTTCTCTAAAGCCAATTGTTAGAACAAAATATAAAAGGCCATACTGCATATGATATAGAGCTCTGTGAATTCAATAAGCATATATATGGTATTGAGGTTTCAGTTAACAGCTAGGCGGCTTGGGTGTGTGTTTGTCAGTATCAGTGCCTATTGAATTTGATTTGGTGAATGCATGAAAAATCTTACTACATTTTCTGTGATCAGATGGAGGAACTGAAGAGGATAACCATGACGCCGGAGAGCTTTCTAAGCGGTATGGTTACTCTGTCAAAGTTTTGATGCCTCCTGCCACACGTTTTGTATTGACCACCATGCCCTTCCCCTCTATATTTAAAAATTATATGCAGAAACTGGGTAAACATTTAAATTTAACATGTGAAGATCAATTTTTTGTTTTGTGGCAGGGCAAAACGCATGTCCCTTGAGATTGGACCCAGTAGCTTTGCCTCAAGGAAGAAAAAGAAGAAGACCAGTGCTACATGATATTTGTCCTCCGAAAAAGCATTACAAATTTTGTTATCATCGTGCTTGCTTGCTTCATTTTAGCTTCTTTATTTTGCTTATTATTGTGTTACTGAAGGAAGAGATTTCTTGTATTTAGAGCGTCTTTTCTTATATTTAAAACACATTTGTAGATTAATTTTCGGACTATCATTTTGAGACATTGAAAGAACCATTAGTATTAAAAGTAGCAACATTGTAGAATACTTGAAAAATATTATGTGTAGTATGACTTTTGGAGAGTCTCATGCTATAACCGTGATATTGTCGTCCTCAAAAGGAAAGAAACTTTAATAGGAAGAGGACAGAAAAACAGTTCACATGACATTAGCATGGCTTCTTTATTCACATGTTATGTCATCTCTTACGAAAATCATAAACACCGGTATTTAGTAGATTTGAATAAGTTTTGTCAAAAATAAAATAATGTAGCCTGGTCTAATTTAAAAAATGAAACATAGCAAATTATGTTTTTTTCAACAACATTTACTTTAGTATGTCAGTTTGATTTAGCAAGTGTTACGTATTTGACAAATTGATATATAGAGTCAGTCTATTTGATTGATTCAAACCAAACAATGAATCCGATTTAGTGCTTAGCACCTTCTCTGAAAGATAACATAGTATTAGTATCATGTGCACGGCAAGATAATATGCTTTTTATAATTACAAGTTTACGAGAGACGTAGCTACCAAGTTACAATTGAAAATGGAATATTTTGCAAAACTTTGAAGTCATTATTATTAATAATATAATATGAGTACTAATTTTTTTTCCTGAAAAAGTCGTAACAAAACCATGATGTTGTCCTAGAAAGGGTGGCACCATTTAGAAATTTTATTAATATGAATAGGCAGAAAGCTCTTGCCTATTCATAAAAAATAGAAGAAGGAAGATTCAAAATTTGAATTATTAATAGTTGGACTTTTAAAGTTCTTATAACTAAATTCATTATACTATAAATTATGAGTTTTTAATTTACTTTTACATATATATACTTATATTTCGTATCAAAATTACTGAATTAAGATGAAGCGTAACAACATTTGGTGCTTTTATTCCTTGGATGGTGCCGGGTTTTAAGACTAAAGAGGAAATGATTGGGGAGAATCAAAAACAACTGTTTAACTTGTCTGCTCTTTCACACAACTTTGAGATCGAAAGTCATATACAATAATACAATTAAGCATCTTTCCCTTTTTTATTTCTCTTTAATTTGACTTGCAAGGGGGAAAGTATGGAAAGGCAATCAAAACAAAAGGGGTAGGAAAAAGATGAGCAATTTCCTGTTATTGCCAGATTTACTTTTAAAAATTATAAGAATTTAATTTATAAATATCACTAATATAAAAAAATTATTTTTTAAAACCTAGTATAGCAGGATACTTGTTGCCTAACAATTAATTATAGTTATAATTTTTTGGACTTAAAAGGAAATAGCGTGAGCGAGGGTCTCTTCTATGCTAAATATAAATAACAAAAATCTAAAAAAATTAAAAATGTCACGTCAGTTAAGTGCTGTTGTATTTATTTTTCTCATTATGGATAAGGTGCAATGACTTATTAGAACATTATGTTACCTAGGATATAACAACATACCTCAAATACTTTCACACTTTAACCATTGCAGATTTACTTCAAGTACTGTTTTTGCATTTTAATATTAGTTTTGAATTTTGACCAATTATTTTCTTCAAATATGTTTTTTATTCTCAAATTTCTGCTCTATTTCACATATCCTTGAGATCCAAAAGTCGTTGCAATCAAACATCCTTCTTTGATTTGACTTGCAAAGGAAACAACAATGAAAGAAAATATAAGCGTAAAATAAATCAAACTGTTTAAGTTATATACATCATTAATGTATTTTTTATTTTTTTTAGGAATATATCATGAAAATATGCAAGTGTAAATGATCTATCAGAAAATATATATTTTTTAAAAATCTCTCTAAGTTACATGATGATTACCAAAGGAAAAAGCACATGAATGGCACGTTTTAATCTTAAAACTTTATGAATATGGTTGGAGCAATTCACGGCATATTTTAAAGATAAAGACAAAAAGAAAGGCAGGGGAGGATGAACTACCTTTTGTTGTTGCAACAATATATACTTAATTAAGTTGCATAATTCAATCTACTTTTTCATTTTCTATACTAAATTTTCCCACTATTTACAAAGTCTAAGCAACTTCAAATTAATTAAAAAAGGAATAAAAACATTTAAAGAACTCATTCAAGAGCTAAAAAGAAAGAGTCCCTTTATGAATAAGGCACTGGGACTAATTAGCACTTACCTTTTAAAATCCGAGCCAATTAAATTAGTAATCAATGAAGTGGACGAAAATATTCAGAAATCAAGAATTTAAAATATTTCAAGAGTCATATGTTATTCCCTCTGTTCCTAATTACTTGTTCACTTTTGAATTGACACACCTATTAAGAAATCAATTAATGACGTAGTGAATTTACCATTTTACCCCTATTAATTATGAAATGGATGAAAAGTTCTACATTTTTCAAAGTAATTAGTCATTTAATTGAGGGTATAATAGGTAAAAAAAATTTGTCCTTTCTTGATTTGTCAAAATGGACAAGTAATTGGGAACAACTATAAAAAAAAAAGTGGACAAGTAATTAGGGACAGAGGGATTACTTAATAAAATAATTGATATTTGTAAATTGACACAAACATCACTATTTTTAGTTAAGGTGTTATGAACATTATTTTGTAATTAATAAAAGGAGACTAATTAACATTTCATGGAAAATAGGAGTTTTTGACTTTTAAATACGGCACACCTTCAATATTTTCAGATTTTAAGATTACTTTGACCATCTAATTATTGTCTTGATATATCTTTGCATTAAAGATAAGTCTGACCAACAAATTACTTACCTCTTGCATTTATTTAGTCCCAATAATTTAATATATTCCCTATCTAATGATTTTTCAACCATTTCTTCCCACAAGTAGTCCGGCTTTCATGATGAGACGGGACAACAACAACGATCAATGTATATCTCTCTAATTTTATAAGTGAAATTTTGAAAAGATAAAATGTATACTAATTTTATTTATATTTTATACGATAATATATAATATTAAGAACATATTTATCATTTATAGTAATAATAATTTTTTTTCTACTTATCACTTTTAATACATTTATAACACAGTTTTAACATATATTACAAAATTTATAAAACACATATAATACAAGTTTTATTAATGGATAATACATTTATCACACATTTTAATATAATGCATCAATCTCTTAACAAACAAACATGATACATTTTAAAACAATTATAATATATATATTACATAAATAAATCACTTTTAATACATATTGCAGATTATCATAATATTGCTATGTATTGCTATAAATGGTAATAAATAAAAAATATCGCTAAAATCTGTAATTATTTACTAAAAAGATACTCTTCCAGATAATTTTTCATATATTATTTCTGGTAGACCTTCAATTTAAATAAAAAATCTATAACAAAATATTACTAAATAAAATTAATAGACAAGAAATTATATGAGTAATTCTAGGATTATTAGTATGAAAAATAGGATGAGATGGCACAAGAAAAACAAAAGAAAGCATGGCAACTAAAATAAGAGGAGCTAGAGCCAATGGACCCTATCTTGCTATCTAATTGATAATGATGGTATTTAAAGAAAGTTAAGTAACTTACTTTTTAATCATTTTTCCACTAATAAAAGAATACCCAACTTTTCACCCGTGACCTAACGACGAAACTTCCATGTGCCTTCAAAAAGTTACTCACATACTGTTTTGATTATCGAAAAAAAGTGTATTCCCTTTCTGATACTGCATTTTTTTTCAAACAGATTCGATTCGATCCAGCATTAGAATCCAATAATCACAAGCTTTTAAACCCCACAACTCCAATTGCTGCACATCCTCTGTTTTTTCAATGTTTTTAAGGTATGTGGTTTGTCCCTCTCAATCTCTCTCTCTATTTACCCTTTTGACTCTTCAATTTTTGCCGTTTTTCGATTGAATAATGTGAAACCCGTTGCTTAAATTGACTATCATTTTCTGGGGTTTTTTTTTTAACTTTCCATGGAAGTTAGTGGTTGATTTTACGTCTTGGGTTTGTATTATTTTAGTGTTTACGTGTCTTCTCTCTTGTTTCTTACTGTTATCCTGCTGTCGTAATAGCGTAGCTTGTAAAAGGATAATGTAGAAGTGCCAAAGTCGGTTTTGAATGATTACAAGTCTCAATTTGCTAGCCGCCTTTCTCTTCTTAACCTGCCGCGTGAAGAAGTAATATTCAAGAATCAAGATTCAGAACCTATCTAGAAACTTCAGTTGTTTGTACACAGTATAAAAACCCTCTTTTCCACTTTCTGTAATTCTTGATAGCAGATTCAGATTGTTGGTGTACCAATTGGGTTTTCTTTTTTGATTGATTTTGACAGGCCCTTTTTGATTGATTGTGTTAGAAAAAGTTCTCTTTTTTTGGCTTAAGGGAGTTGGGAATTTTGTAGATAAGTTGACTTTGATGGGTGGCAAGAGTTCAAGAGAGGATAGTTGGAGGCAAGCTTCGTCGACTCGATCTTCTTCTTGGAATCAATACGATTATCCTCAAACTGCTTATCCTCAAGATAGTTACAGTTACTCACAGCAGGCGGCTGTTCCTTCTTATGCACCACCACCACCATCCCAACAGAATTATCCTCCTCCACAGCCCCAACACAATTATGCTTCTCATGAACATGAATCTCTGCCTCATACTCATGCTCCACGACCAAGGCTTGACCGGAGATACTCGAGGATTGCAGACAATTATAATTCCCTGGATGAGGTATGGATTAGAGATAAGTTACTTAGATGAAGCAGTTTGGATGTTTTCAGCAATTCTCTATTATTTTTCTGCCAACCCTTTTAGACTTTACTATTAACATTGTGATGCACTCCATCATAATTCATAATTTGGTACTTCTAGCACGGGTTGTTTTCATTTCTTCAGTTATCATATTATGTTTTCCCTAGCTACTACTTTTATTACCATATTCCTATTTTGAAACTGCTTTGAAATGTGCTACTTGGGTTGAGGGTTTTAAGAAAATAGCCTATTGTAGAGTAGGGTTAACGTACACTCTACCCTATCTAGACCCACTTGTGGGATT